TACTCGTCTTTCACATGTGTTCATGGACATAGATCAAGTTGAAATGCTGAAATGACGGTAAAATAACAACGGAGATCAATAAACCAAAGACGAGATCGGTTCTGGTATTAAAACAAAGTTTACCAAGATAGGGAAAATTTATCAAAGAAGGTTTAATGTGATGACTAACTATTTTTAAACACACAAAGGTGGCTTAAACTTTCATATTGCTAGGGCTTCCACAGATTTGAGGATACCCCCAAACACGTCTTATGCGTAGGTTTAAAAGAGGTGTAAACACCAATTTTATACCCTCTGTCCATGATATGTATCTCAATGGAACAGTTAGGTTTTCGGTTTTCCTTTTCTTTTCACTTTATTAAAATCATCATTATTCGATAGTTGTTCACCGAACGGTAAGTCGCCTCACTGTTATTATTTTATTACTACTATTGTTATTTATAGCCTTCTACATCTAACGTGTCCTGTTTGTTTGTGTCTTTTTCTGTAGTATTTATAATGTCTCCTATACCAATGACTAGAATTCACCCATCGATCAGTGAACAAAGAATATTCCTTTCGATGATATTCAACAGTTATATATTCATGATGTTAACAGACAAATTTTTATTGACAACGTTGTATTTTAAGTGACACTGAATCATTAACACCATTATTCCAAGGGGTACCTACGAATGGAGTGTTAAGTATTTATAGTTGGAATCATATGTCTGTAATGTTGGACTAAACACCAGATTTCCCAACTAGATGATCATGATAATCGAGTTTACATTAATCAGCGCTCATGGGTGAAGTTAAACTTTAAGCCACCAGTAAATGCCAACGGACGGCTGACCCTGGACACACCAACCACATGAAAAAGGTGATTTTCACGTATAAATGTGATATATTTATGAAAGCACTGAATAAAAGGCATGAAACTGTTGCACAAGGTACGTATTCTTGACATGTGATACAAATGGTTGCCAGTTTTGCACTGAAGTATCAATAGAGTATTAAACCACATTCTATACATGTATTCACCTAGGTCTTCTAACTCTCACCCTGACCCTAATCTTTTCTTAACTTAACCCTTACGCGAAACTAAGTCTAATCGAACTTGGACCAACCCTAAACCTCCCTTTTTAGATTAGCCTAACCCTAAACTGTCCTTAGCCCAAACCTTAGCCTTAATCGTTTGTAACCTTAACTTAAACTTACCACATGTCCCGTTCAATATCAAAACACTTCATCAAGCATATTTTGCTCATGATTCTAATGTTATTTGCCTGGCTTCACTCACTTGCTAACTGAGATCTACAGGGTCACCGGAGTAGTCACGCTCCGTTGGTATTTACTGATGCTTAAAGTTTAACTTGGCATGCTCATGATTAATGTTCACAGTTAATTCAGACTGATTATGAACTTCATGTGATTGAATAGTTCCACATTAATTGGACGCCAAGTAAAAGCCAGACATATGTAAAAGTTCAATCTGCATAAATTTTAGGGAAATCGAAATAAATAATTCCTACGTTTCGTTCTGTAAAGTGGTCCGAAGTTCTTCAGGGGAATATTGAAAATTAAAAAATATCAAAGTTGTATATAACTAGCACACCTCTATGAAATTGCTTTCCAGTCATGTCTGAATGATGAATGGTCGTCAAAAGTTAAATAGACAAAACTGCATTAACTGTAATCAACATTCGACCAGATCGTTTTTTATTAGCAGAAGACAAGGGAATTTGGTAAAGGAATTATTGATTAGAAACTCGATACGCAGATATAGGCAAGATACGTTTAGAATCAAAATTTGCATATATCTTCGGCAATGGACTCCATTGTCTTTCTTTCATATTTTCTATGTTGTTTCACAAGCATGGTTCATTAAATCCATCTGTTAGCCATCGTATATTAGGTCTCCTGTTCTCACCATTAATGGGTTCTGGGGATTCTATTTGCTTCTGAAGTCATTTAGGAATATGCTCTGAAGCCAATCCTTACTTGTAGAGATCAATAAGTCCTCCCTATGTATGTGTGTCGACACGTACATTCAAATTGGTAAATACAGTGGGATTTGACATCATTTTTCTCGGGTTCTGTAGGCTTAGATGGATATACTGACTTCACACTCTCAGTTATTGTGATATTAGCTGCGCAATAAGTCTTCTTAACCACAGCGTTCAACCGCTGTCGAGTTACCAAGCTGCTATGATCACCTATTTAGGGAAGCTTGATACACACGTCTTTCTTAGCGGCGAGTTGGAGAGTGGGTTTTGGTGTTCTTACTACTTTATATCTCCTAATGAATTTGTCTGGATAATTATTGTCAACCAGAGTTTTTGTCAACTTTCTTTTTTCCTCATCAAGTGTGTCATCAGTGAATATTCGTTGAATTTTACTGAAGAAGCACCTTACTGATGCTCTTTTGTACCAAACAGGGCAGAAACTGTGATGATTAAGATACCTTCCTGTCCAGGTAGGCTTCAGAAGCAAACAGAATCCCCAGAACCAATTAATGGTGGGAGCATGAGACCTAACTATTCTATTGGGAGACATATTATAGAGAGAGGACATAAAATTCATGTTTATACATCTTTTAAACCTATCTATGGAACGTATTTGGGGCATATCCTGAAGTTTGTGGAAGCCCTAGCAATTAGGAAAATTAAACCACCTTTACACGTTCAAAAACAATTCGTCATCACACTAAACCTTCCTTGGTAAACTTTGTTTTGATCCCAGGGTGGATGTACTGTTACCTCTCTTATTTGGTTGAGTGATCTTCATTGTTATTTTCACCTTCAATGTGTCCTTTTAACTTGACCTAAGTCTATTTCCACACCTCTTAACTCTTTATTAATTTCATGCATATTCCAATGGCAAGTCCGTATGTGATCAAACTGTTCGAAATGTGTTGTACGCGCAAATATATTGCACGATTCAGACAAATTACATCTTATTGATTTGTCTAAATTCATAAACGGAACTAATTGTCTTAAATTCTTATATTGTTGCGCGGCGTTTTTCATAACCTACTAACCTTATTGACTCTATATCCCCTTCTAAGAGTTATACATGACAAAAGCTATTTTAAACAGTACACAACACATTTTTCTTTTTTTGTTGCAATTCCCATTATTATTAAAAGCTATATAAATATGTAACAGCAGAAGACTAGAGGCTTGTTAACGGGTCTTTATTCAGAAAAAAGTGAATCATATTAATAGATTCTTAGCCATATTAAAGTTCGGCTAGGTTAGAGGAGAATAAATTGTCGTGATTGGTTGAAATTTGGACTAAGGTTAAACAAGTTGTCCAATGAGATTACTTCATGTCCACACCATAAGCTAAATATAGATTTGAGGAATAAATATTTCTATCTATGCAGCCATTGACTCAAAATATTTTGGGTTTTGGCCACTCCCTATCAATCTTCACCACTCCATAAATATATACGTATACATGACGGAAGGCTATACCTCAAAGTAATCAAATAATACACTATTTATGAATTTATATATTCCGGGTAAGAGAAATCAATTGGCTATTGGCAACCGTTTCACCTTTATTTAAAATTCTTCCGCAGTACGCACCTGTAACTCTATACAAGGTCGATATTTGGGTGATAAATAAATGGAGTAAATGGTAGGTTGGATGCAATATGTAGAAGTTATAATAGCAGACCCAAAAATTCAAAGAGGCCGCTAAGGCTTTCTGTCAGAAATCAGCCAGTGGTCCAAGGAAAACGGTCTAACCCTAAACCCCTCCAAATGCCAAACAGTCAATTTCACCTTCAGGCATAAATCCGACCTAAACAAACTGGTTGGCTCTCACGAGGTATGCAACATAGACGGCACCGAAATAGAAACCAAGTCGGAAATTAAATACCTAGGCGTCATTCTATCTGTTGATCTCTCCTGGTCGTCTTATATCTTAGCGATTTTTTAAGAAAATATTCCGTCTAACCTTCTACATCAAGAAGTTAAAACATTCTGGTATAACCCGACCCTTACTCCTACAATTCGTTAATTCTCGCATCCTGCCTATTATTCTCTATTGTTCCCCCTTAGTTTTTCCAGGGCTACTGAAGAAAGACTATAACATATTACGCAGGATGTTAAAGGTTGTCAGCAGGGTAAGCAACGTGCCACTTAACCAGCTTGTTTACATTCTGGTTGACAGGCACATGGACTCATGTGAAAAATGGGCCAAATCCATTTTATCTAACTCACACCACCCTCTTCACTCACAACTCTCTCCTTGCATCTCATCAGGTAAAACCAGAAGCCTATATAGAAAACTATATGCTCGCACCAGCAAGTACAAAAACTCAACCATACCCTACTTGGCTCGTGTTCTGTGTGATAAAGAAAGCATTAGGCGTGACACCTTTAATTCATTAAATAGTCAGTAGTACAACTGGACCTCGTCTTTCCAGCTCATATCATTTATAGGTACAACGTTTTTCTTTCTTTCTTTTGCTTTTCTCTCTTCTTTTTCCGTTATGTGCTGCTTTGTTTCTTTCTCTCGCTTACGCCAGTAAATATGACAGCTCCCACTTTTCTAACACCTTCAAACACTGTTCAGCTTTGCCTTTGCTACTGACATGCCAATGTGTTGTTGTAATAATGAACTGAGATTTCCTTAATCTATGTAGAATTCTATTTACTGATAATGTACTACCTGGATGCAATACTGTAGTAAAAATGCTGAGAATTCCATTATGTATCACATGTACTGTTTTGGAATAAAGCAAATTACTGTTATTATTATTATTCTCTGACAATGAACACGTTATCTACTACTCACTCAGCTGGCTGACATTCGGCAGTCTAAATCTTTTGACTGTTCTTGTTCAGTTTATTAGGCTTTAGAATATCATGTGAACTAAATGTCTGACCTTTAACATTTGTCTTTAAGTATTACTTCATATAGCCTATTATTAATCGATAATCTTTGAAATAAACTGGTTATTCAGGCAACCACCTAACAGTAATCAAAAATACGTTTTTTTCAGTCTGCTGTTATAACCATCATAAATCATACTGTAGTATATTGAAGAGTGAATATGTTCTTGTAAAGAATTTACTCTCGTAAAATACCACATTACATAGATTAAGAGATAGTGATGATTGTACAGATTTCACATGTGAATTTCAAATTTCCCACAAAGATGATGGTGAAAGATGTGATTAAAAATAAATTGGAATAATTTAAATAAAAAACAATTAGAGACTGCCAGATTCAAGACTAGTGTATAAGTAAAGTATGTATAAATTCATCTGAATATGGATATATTATGTGTGTGTTACTTAAATTTACATGATCATAGTCAATTTCTAATTAAGAACAATATATATAGATATGTTTCATAAGAAATAGATTCAACTTTTAACGAAAATAGTAATAAGGTCTGTCTTCCGTTCATATTGAACTCAAGTTGCGTATGGTCTCTAGAATTATTCAAATGATTGCGATTAATTTCAGGTTGAAAGTGACATTCTTAGATACTGAAGTTTGAAAGAAAAAGGGAAAATGTAGAAATTTACGATCAGTTAATTAGGAATAACTTAATCTGAATAACAATATGCTCTGAAAAGTATATCAGTAGTATGTATACGTACACATTATTGCAAAAATTTGCGGGATGACAAATTTAACTGAGAAAAAAGCTAGGGAATGAATAAAAGTCTTTAAATAATGCATAAAATTTCTAAAAGCCTTTTATCATACCTTCGAGTTCCGAATAGGATATATGGCCTCAAGCAACGAATTTCCAGTAGAAGTGGTATGGTTTTCACAGAGTTAGACTGCTAGCTTCATGACCAACCTTGCCTCTTTTCCGGGTTTATTATAGGCTCGGAAATGGGGAGTTTATAAGCACATCGGTTGAGAATTGGACCCAAACAGCATAGAAGACTGACGAGCATTTTACCATTGAACCACCGAATTTCAAGAGACAGAATCGAGGACCATTGGGTTATGAGGCCAGCCCTCTGACCATTCAGCTGCTGGGTAAAGCGTTATCGACTAGGCTACTGAACCACTTATAACTACAGTACTCCAGGATAATTCTTTTCGTTGAATGATCTAGTTACCGAATTTAGTGAAAGTCAACTGTCTACGTTTAGAAGTCATGTACCTGCTATATGTATTGGGCAAATCTCATGAAAGATAAGCAGTAAAACTGGCTTTTCATAGTTTAATTACTGAGCAGAAATGTAATAGTTATAACTGTTTAAACATATTCATGTGATAAGATTGTTTACCTGTCTTTCACTGCCAGAATATATGGAAACATTCGCACTACCTCCAGAAGAATCCAGAAGATTCGTGCTTACTGAAACTCACATTTTGCCTCCTCTGTAAATTGTACCTCTTATTAACAGCCAACCAACTATTGGAAGCTAATTTGTTTTATAAGCAACAGATGCTTTTAAAAGTTTTTTCATTAGACATTTATCGCTAGACTCTGTAATGAAAGGGACACTATTCTTTATAAATTTTTGTTAGGAGGCTTAAAGGTTTCGAATATGTCATCTTGTATCCTAAAGCCTTCAGACATTCCTCCTGAAGCATTGAAGACGGACCCAGAGATCACGGCAGATGTTCTCACTCTATTACTGAAAAATGTTTGGAAGCAAGGAAATGTGCCTACCGATTGGAAGAAAGCCTAGCTCCCTTGTCAAGCTGCCAAAGAAGGGCAACTTACGCCTCACTCTGCAAGAACTGGAATGGAATAATGCTGTTGTCAACGCAAACTAAAATACTAAGTTGCATCATCCTGGAGAGAATAAAAGATGCACTGGATACAGAACTCCGCCCCACCTACCAGAAAAAGCTGGATTCAGGAAAGGCAAATCCTTTGCATCGTCATCACTGAGCAAAGCATAGAAAGACAGTCAAATCTCTCTGTACCTCAACTTCATCGACTTCGAAAAGGCCTTCGACAAACAGCGTTGACCAAGTAGTAATTTGGAAACTTCTTCTAGACTACGGCGTGCAGTGCTCAAGTCTTTATCAACCTCATTCAACAGCTAGGTATATGACATTGGCACGTGTCAAGTGATTCACAATGGAAAACTCAGCGAGGCGTTCGAAGTGTATGCAGGAATAAAACTGGGTTGGCTGTCTATTGTCACCAATTATATTCCTAATTGTGGTGGACTGGATTATGTGGAAGACTGTGCGTTGGGAGTGAGAAGACAGGAATACGCTTGGCCACCGATAAGAAGATTCTAGAAGATCTGGATTTCGCGCTTGGATAATATATGTTTAATGTCATACAAACTCAAAGACTTGCATGTGAAAAGCAACAAACCGGCTGGAGAGGCTGGCTGGCAGCGAGGATAGGACTGCAGGTGAACACAGAGAAGACGGAGGTGATGAGGGTAACCAACCAAACAACCAACAACAACCAGCACCAATCACCATCAACGGGAGAGATTTAAAAGAGGTTGCCTTCTTCATTTATCCGGCTAGGAAGCACCTTTTCAACTACAGGCGGAACTGATGAAGATGTCAGAGCTGGTAAGAATCGAAAAGGTAAGATACGCCTTCATCAATCTGAAAAGGGGTTTGGAAATCTTCTGCACTCGGTCAGCGTAGAGAACAAGATTCGGATTTTCAACACCAATGTGAAGTCAGTCGCTTCTTCTATACGGGTATGAAACTTGCACTGCGCATCATGAAAAGGAATTCCAACGGGTTGCAAATCTTTATCAAAAGCTGCCTTCGTTGGCTCCATACTGACGATCAAATGGCCAGAAAGAATAAGTAACAAGAAACTGTGAGGACAAACCAACCAACAGTCGATCGCTCAACTAATATATAGTAGAGAATGGAGATTGATCGGGCATACTTTGAGGAGGCCGTCGAATGAAATCGCATTCCAGGGTCTCGAGTGGAATTCAAATGGGAAGCGACGAGTGGGTCGTCGGTGCGAGGGTGACATGGAGGCGATCGTGTGGGGAGGAGGAGATGAGATATTATAGGAAATCGTGAACCCAGATGAAGAGGACGGTAGAAGATAGGACAAAGTGGAGATGTGTTGTTGAAGCCCTATATTCCACTCGGAACCTAAGGGAATAATATTAATAATCCTTAAGCTATCCATCTGGATATGCATTATTGCTATCGAGGATCAACAATTTATTGATTCAGATAATCAATTTCAAAAATTCATTTCATCACTAAAATAATATATAACTTTTATAGTTATAATCAGACAAATTTAAATCGATCAAATTTTAGTTAGAAAATACAGTAATGAAAGGAAGTGTACCAAGGCAGTTTGCTTCCGACTTCTTTTTATTACGGAATTCCTCACTGAATGCATGGGGTAGTCGGAGCTGCATTGAAAAGAAGTTCTTTCAAGCCTTGCATCTACCAAAGACTTCAACTACAAAACATTATTTCATCCCGTTTCTGTTAATTTGTTGATCACAACTCTTTTTCACGAAAAATTATTTCACATATTACGCAACCGTTTTATTGACCCTGTATTATTTCGGTGTCTATGAATTTTGCAATTAATTTCCACTTCTCATCATAATTGCAAATTTTTCAGACCGGGTTGGGAAAACCATCTTCTTTAAATCTTGCTTATTCCTCTTTGCACGGTTAAACAGCAGTCGTAACTATGCTAATTTTTTGAATGAAAACCGTCTACGTATGTATGTGATTGTACAGCTCTTGAGAGTAAAACCTCCGGAAATATATCCATGCCTAAGTTGTTTTGGCTCCGAATTACAGATAGTTTAGTTCTATAGTTTTCATTTAACATGGTGATGAAATGTCCAGGATCAAATATCGAAGTCTTTCGAACATCAGGTAATATCCAACAATAAATGTTGACATTTTAAAGTGTTATCTCGTAAAAATTTGGTTACCTTCGAGTTTGATCACAGATTGATATAAGTCGGAAAACCACTGAAAATCTTGGATTACTGTATAGCTGTTTCCTCATTGTTTTGGAATCTTCAGCAGCACGCACACATGACCTTACGAGATCATCGCGTTGACCATTCAACCACTGGGACGGAATCCAGTGCCCCATGAGTTCCAAATTCCGTCATTTGGCGATTTTATCTATCATCAACACCAGCCAATATCATCTGCGGATTCTGTCTCACCTAATAACCTGAAAGTCCTGAGTCCTATGCTTGTTGGAATCATGACTGCGTACTGCTGGAGGATTCCGAAATAGGAAGAAACAACTTTTCATTACTTCCTGGATTACAATAGTTCTCTAAATGCTATCTGTCGGTGACCAAAACTGAAATAAATACGTTTAATATGTTATTCACAAGACACTGAACCGAGATCAAATTACCCGCAATATATATAAAAATAACTTACATCTTCTACAGTAAATACTAATTGATTTTTTTGATTTCTTGGGTGAATACTTGTGACATCAAAAGCGCTTCTAATTCTTGACATACAATGCAAAAAATCTGCAAAACTTATGGTACACTTCTTTGAATCAATATACCGACATGCTATTGAATGGTAGACTCGATTGCTAACATGATAACCTTCATGAAAAGGAATGATAACATGTTGTATTAAAATATATAATTAGTGAATAGTGCATAATTTACAGAGAAATAAGTGTGGTTTCCTATATTGGAGAATATATTTATATTAAACTGCGGAATTTCTAAGTTTTACTGTCTGCGTTTGAAATTTGTTGGCAGGAGTTTCGATATCAGACTAGGAACTTGTTTAGTGTTACTTTAAAAGAGTGAGAACTGGATACATAATACACGTGTATTATTAGCCGACTACCTGTGAACCTATAGGAAAACCTATTACAGATTAGAGTATTTTCTTGATGGATCCACTGTGCTTAGGTCGACCTTTCTTGATCATTGAAAACTATAAAAAGTTGTGAGTGTATTTTTCTAGATTTCAATATTGACTTGTCATTGTCGAGTCAAACAAAAGTGTTAGTCAAATTTTTATTTCTCCTTACCTGATTAAAAATGTTTGGATTCAGTTGGTCAGAAATATCCCTTTTGTTCAATGCAACAAAAAAAACTTAACAGCATTCACGAGGAATGATGAATTACCACAACAGTTCAATTTGGAACAATAAACCATTTGCGGGAAATGGAACTAATCAGGTATCATTATGCCATACATGACATGAGAAACTTTTTACGTTTGCTGTACATTGATAATGTACGCCGAAAACACCCAAAATATAAAATCCGAATCTGAAGCAGTCAATACTGGAAATGAATTCTGTCAGACGTAATTGCAATGAATCAGGTAGCGTGTTGATGTCGGTCGTCTGCATGATTCAGTCAGTCTGTGTTTGTCAATGTGTGATATCTCTTGCCACTTCTTCAATAGGTTTGGTTGTGACGAGGTCTCAGGCGGCTAGGAATGATCTGTGAACGTGAGATATACATATGTGTGTGGGTGGAGTTGTTAGTGGTGATAGTGTCGGCGCCAGTGGAGTGTCAGTTCTTACTGTGATGAATGTAAGAGGAGTGTCTAGTTATTCAGTACATTGTTTACGTGTGTGTTTGGTTGTGTGATGTCGGGGATTGGTAGGGTCGAATGTATGTTGAGTGTTGTTGTTGTTGTGAGTGTAATGTGTTGTGGTGTGGCACACCACACTGTGTACTGATGAATATTTAGTTTGTGTTAATTAATTAGTGTATAAATTGTGTATAAGTTGTCATCCAGTTTTAAGTACTCAAAAAATCCATTTCTAAGGACTGCTGCCACTTTTCAGTTCAGTCTTGCGTTTAAATCACATTGATCACTCTCTGTTCAGAAAAATCTTTTAATTTTTCAAGTTCACTGAAATTGTTCAATTCAGTTTTAGATTTTCCCGTCGATTGATTGGACCGAAGTGCTTGGTCTCAAGTTGACATGTCGACTTCTTATGCAGATGCTTCGACGATGTCTGGGCATATCGTTCGAAGTTAATTGGTGGATGGTGACGAGCAGTGGAATCCAGGATGCACATATCGTCCTATTTGGAACTCGTCATCTGGACGTGCCTGCATTCCGCAGTGAATGATCGTGTTCTCAAAGAAGCTCGAACCCAGCCCCTATAGTTTCAAATGCCAAAGCATCATCCACTAGACCACTTTGGCCACGACAGCCATCTCTTGTGCAACGGGTCATATTAATTATTCAATTCAATTTTAGATTTTCCCATTGCACAAGAAACAGCTGGCTCTTGTGGCCCAAGTAGTCTAGTGGACGACGCTTTGGCGTTTGAAACTATAGGGGCTGGGTTCGAGCCTCGTTGGAAACACGATCATTCACTGAGGGATGCAGGCACATCCAGTGAAGAGACTCAAATAGGACGAAATGCGCATCCTGGATTTCACTGCTAGTCCCCATCCACCAATTAACTCTTAATTATACTGGAATTGTTCTAAACAATTTTATAGTTGTAATTGTATTTAACAAAGAATCCATAAGATCAATCAGATACTGGTAAAGTTTGTCCTCGAAAACGTATTTCGTAATGTAAGGTGAAATCTAGAAGGAGGGACTAATTGGAAATTAGAAAAGAGGGCAGAAGTTGGCATGACGTAATAAGTGTGAGAGAATGGTTAATCAATATGATTGTGTATAGAGGAAAGATGATAAAGTGTTTCTATGAAATCTGTATGAAAACGCAATGTTATTAATAAACAGTAATAGAGTGATAATAAAATAAAGACGATGAGAATAATAATGATAATAGCAATAAAAATAGTAAACTTACACAGTAAAAAGAAGTAAAATTATAGTAAAAACGTTATTTTGGCCACGGTAGGGCGAGTGAACATGTGTAGTACTTTTGAATGCAGAGGTCCAGTTTCAGATCCCGAATGGCCAGTGATTCAGCTATGTACAGATGACACACTGACTAGCCATTTTCTCACACTTATTACGTCATGCCAACTTCTGCCTCTTTTCCAACTTCCAATTAGATACCCCTTCTAGGTTAATCCTAACATTAAGTAATACGTTTTTCGAGGACAAATTTTTTAGTCATTAGTTTCTTGGTAAGCATTGACTCTCTCACTTGAATTATACGAAATTTTGTTTCATTTTTGTGGCAACTTGGTGTTGATGTCCCTTTACTTCCGAATTATCATTGGTCTTCTCCCGTTTGTTTGAATAAACTCTGATATGATTATGTAATGGCCCTCACTTATGTTTGAATTCACCTTTAAATTCCACGATATTCCATTCTTTACAATACAAGGATATCGCTGTTTTGATAATAATTTGTTATTCTGCCTTCATGTTTGGTTTGCTCAACGTCTTAATTTTTGACGATAAATTCTACTAATATAAAACGAACTGGACGTTCTGTTAAAGTATGTCTAAATTATAACAGTGTGATTACTTAAGTATTTTTATTTTCAGGTTCTATACGGCTGACGAAATTTCTGTGAAATAAAATGAATTCATCTTTTCATAGGCTGCTTTTTACTAACCAATTAGTACTTAAAATGTGATTTATAAACGCATTACACGATTCTGACAGATTTATTTTCATTCCTATACTTCCGAAGTAGAACACAGGGCTTCAGGCTTTGAAGATGCCAGCTTCAAACTCGATCCTCCCTCTTTTCGGGGTTTATTATAGACTAGAAAAATAGATGAGGTGTAACGGTAGAAGATAATTGAAGTGGTAGTCGACTTCTTATTAAGGGAAGATACATCATATTTATACATTTCTAATCACATTAAAATGAGGCTAGGTCAGCGAACGATAAACTGTTCTGCCTCGTTGGCGACTGTTCTAAGGTTAAACATTGAGATGGAAGGTTGTCCAATGAGATAACTTCCTGACCACAATGTTAACTAGATTCAGATTTGAGGAATAAACACTTTTACTCCTGTAGCAATTGTCTTAAGGTCTGATTTCAGTTCTGACTGCTCCCTATCAATCGGCGTCTACATACAAATTATGTTATCCGTAGCATGCGCCAAAAAAGCCAAGGAGTGCATCAGCCAATAATCAAACCGAGAGCATGTGAGTATCTGGCAAGCAATCTATCATGAAACCACCAACACATAGAACGTGTTTATCAATAGAATCACATGATTCTACTGAAACTTGATGTGGAACTAATTATTTAAAACTTTATTTAATTATTTGTACTTTCATTTACTGGCGACTGCCAGTCATTTTCTGGACCGTTTCTATGCAAATCCACTGCTTCATTTGCAAAATGATCTGTACTTTTGATCAGTCCTTTGTGTTTTTTAACTACTAACCTCAAATATTCTTCTTCCATATTAAGTTTAAAATGTGTATTCTGTTCATTCATTACTCCATTTCGTTCTAACATGTGCCACTGATACAATGATATCTCTTTTTGGCAGTTCTTGAAATGACAGATGAAACGAATAGCTATTGTTTGTTTTATCAGTGAACGCATTTGTTAATATCCTTTCGCAAGCAGATGAATCTTGCCTTCGACCGACTGAATATCAACTTCTGCAGGATAGCTTTCTTAAGAATATGATTATGATTCAATAAGGACTGTAAAATAATGTCAGTTGTCCCATAAAGAATGCCTCTTATATTACTCATGCTTAACTTCCTAACAATATTTCAATTTATATATTTTCCTAGTGAGAGATTAAATAACAGTTGTGTTATTGCAAGAGTCATTTCTAACTAACAAATGACAGTCTAGTAACACTAATACTGCTAAATACATTCAAGAATTTCTCACAAATGTGAATAACACATAAGGCATAGTTTAAGTGTATACAGGTGTAGGCATGATGTCCGATTGCCGATCAAAGGATGCGTGTACTGCGCAACAGTTCGCTTTATCATTCTGTATGGCTGGGACAGATGGCCATTGAAACTGGAGGACATGAAAGTGCCAGCTGTCTTTGATCATAGGCATCTCTGTTCTATTTCCAGTGTTAAGTGATTTAATGGAGTGAGCAATATTGAAGTTAGGCATTGAGTGTTAGGTAAGGAGGAAAAATATAGTGATGAGGTTATGAGGCTACATCGATTGAGATGACTAAGGCAGGTATTACGTTTGCGTAGCCATCGCCTTCCTTGACGGGCAATGTTGGCTGACAAAGGATTGGTCAGGTTAGAAAAAAGCTATTGGCGGTCAAAGGAAAACATGATATCGCCCTATGAGATCTTTAACAGTTAGTTTGATCCATGTAGGGAAGTGTAGACTTCCTGGTTGAGGTGCTCGGGATTCTAATAACCAATGGCCAGAGACCGTTGATGGTATGGTTCACAGTCGTTCTCAGGGGCGGAGATGCATTTACTCTCTGTGGCCTGCCATATCCTATGTTAATACTTTTTCTTCCCCACATTTCTGCTTATTAAATTTCTTCAAAATCTCTTTTTCTCTTCAGTCTTCCTTTGTGTGTTTTACGAAATGTGGCAACTCAAACTGCTGCACTTATGTGCAAAGTTCTGTGTTAAAACCAGTCAGTCAAGTCTATACAGATGTATAGTTGTGGTGAATACAATACATTCCATGAGAAATTAAACAAAGCTTAGAACCTAAGATGAAGAGGTTGACTAGTGGTCATGAGATCTCATCATATCTATCGACAACTAATACAACTCATTCTGCAAAAAGATAAGTTGTTTTACCACAAATGACAGAAGGATCAATAATTTTCAATCAATGAAGGAATTAGACTAGTAACTGAATAAATCTCTCACCTGCACTGATCAGCATTTCACGAAGTTTGTAACCTGGAGCGTGTCCATGTTTCTGATGTTGTTGAAAAATATGCTGTATAGTGAAGTAAATCAAAAAGATTGTTACTAATTAAGGTAGATGAGAGTGCCATGTAAATAAATACCTCAATATACTGGTGCCAAATTAAAACAGTTTGTCCATTGGTAGCGGCGATAGTTTCTGGGGTTTATCTGATATATCTTTTATAAAACTGGTTACAAAAGACTATTTTATACACACTGATAACATTTCTATATTAGTATTTCTACAGGAAATTTGGATACATTAAAAAGTGGCAATTGTTTTTGTTGTGCGTGAGACTATCTGAGAAAACCAGGGATCAGCAGACTGTTATTCACATAACAGTGAAGTTCAAACCTCCTTCTGAGTGGTACCGACTGTGAACTCTTAGTAGTCAACCTGAGAGACGATAGGCTAGGAGTGTTTAGCCTTAGAATTCACTGGAATACAAAAACCAAAATAGTAAAATATTTGTCAGTGATACACTAAGCTGATATTAATGGAATAAAATTCAGGAACAATCAGACTGAATCTTACAGTGTTATCTGAGATTCTACATTTCGTCACAAAATCATTAACATTGTTTTCATCAAGCACAATGAATTAGTGTTTTCTTCTTCACTAGCCTTTTTGAACTTCTAAGTAGACAGATGCATTTTGTGGAGACTGACGATTTAGACTTCAGTACTGCGTGCAGGCATCCATCACCCAGATGACCGGTGTTATGAATAAGTACTTTATTAAATAAACTTCATTAAACCGTGGACAGTCATTATTAGAAGTCTATGTAACAGCCGACTAACCAAGCAGAGTGACATTACAGTTTCGGCTTAATTTTATTGTGATAAATTTCTTTTTTCAGCGGCATCTAAAGATAAAGGGAATCGCTGGTGGCGACAAATTCTTCCTTCACTTCTGTCTAAAGGAAATTCAAATTCCGGGAAACCGCGGCCGCCAAATTTAATCTCATAGGGTCTAATGATAACAGTGAAATAGACGATAGTTTCGTTTGACTGGGCATCACAGATTACCACTTTTGAAGATATTATCATTTTGTAATATATTTTAGTTATTTCATTTCCTTTTTTGTAAATATAACTTTCTTCTTTCACTGTGTTACGCAGCTGCCTAGTTACAACGATTATCTTAAATTACAGTGGAAGGTAATCATCATGCCATGTTGCGTAACACTTACCTTCCATGTCTTCATTTGTGCCCACAGGAATAGAAACTCTTGTAAATCAATATTACCTGTAAGATTTGTCTAACATAAAGAATTGCTTGTTAAGGATAAATGCCAGTCTTGATGTTGCTTCTCATTTTACCACCTCACCCCTCAAAATATTCATTTCTGCTTAGTTATTAGTCTCTTACAGTTATTTCCGATAACTTTTAATAACACTGCTTCACCCAAATTTCAGTAAATTTTTCAGTAACACCAAGGATACGATACTGAATCTGCTTTTTGTTAAGATGTAGAAGTTTTCTATCATAATCACTGTTGGCTACAAATGAAATAAATTGGTCCTAAGTCTCTTCTTTTCTGAAAGTTTTGCAAAATTACTTCCTATTGTTGAAACAGTGGAAATTCACTCGTCGAGTATATTTAAACATATGCATAGGCCTCCTTTTTTGAGGAAAAACATACTATGGGATTAAGTGTGTCTTTATCTCAAAAATGATGCGTAGGTGGTTCAGTAGAAGAATCCTTGCCAACTGCCCACGTGGTACGGGTTTCAGTTCCTGGTCGACTGACTCTTAAACCTCTATTAGCCAGTAGTAAATGCAGTAAAGACGTAACGTTCGGCATGAGGCTAGCTACTCCATCCCGTAAAAACGACACCAGGGCTACTAAAACTTATAAGCTTGAAGTACTACTTTCCAGTTTGAAAATAAACGCAGCATGACTAATTGGGAATTCTCCGTCACCCCTAGATTGATATTATGCGAGTATAAAAAATACTTCAAACTATCTCTAGGATTCTTAATCTCAGTGGAACTGAGATAGTTTTAAAACTTAAAAACTCACTGAGAGACAAGCTTTTTCAAAATCAGGAATCAACTGACTCAAATGTAATATCCAATTTAATACACCAAACATCAAGCACTTATAAAGGTATTTCCCATATAGATCAGACCTATTGGTCATTATCAGGTCTGCCATCAGGTCATATGAAACTGGCTGAGTTGTAGAATAGTAGATTCTAATGCGATTTGCAATATAAGAATAATTCAGACATTTTAATGCGTAAAATGAGACCTGTATTTTACTGAACAACAGCAGAACTCTGATTTGCTCAAGATTTTATTACTATCGTAAATAAAGTAAGGCGAAATAATAAATCTGGATTACCCAAATTATTTTATGAAGCATTCTATATTTACTCATGTCTAAGGGTACGGTGTAAAATGCCATTCCAGATTCTTCTACAGTTATGAAAACCCCAAATTAGGTTTAATTTGCTTGTGTTTCCTAACCAGTTCACTGATGGACTTAATGCTACACGATTACAAGGTTAATATTTCTTAACTATAACGACTACCTTCTTCAGCCAATAAAACACTATAATGAAACAACAAGGGGATCAGCTAGTTTTTAAAACCTTAGGTTATCTAAAGAGAACATTTACTTTGCTCAATTACTAGAGGGTTACAAATGTCAGTAGGCTAGTCTTTGTTGGCGTTCGGTGAATTCTATTAGTCAAGTTTGCAATGTTATCGTCAAGCTTAGTCATAGTGCCACTTAGTGAAACATTAATTCACACGTGTTCAAATGGCTATGAGGACATCATTTACCTTAAATTCATAGATATACCTTACTGACAGATGCCAGAAAACATGAGTCAGGTGTCCAGGGCTTTTCACAGTTCCCTTCAACGATTTAATAAGATAGAGAAGATATATTACATATTTTTAGTTGTATACGATTTACGAAATCCTTGTTTATTGTAGGAATTCTGTTTTACTCAAAATTGAAACAAATATCCTTTTTATTCAAGTATTGTTCTGTAGGCATTTGATTGATTGGTTATAGGATTTCATAATGAGCTGACATCGGTTAGAGAACCACTGGAAAGCCTGGGAGTGCTAGACAGCCGCTTTGTCCTAGTTTGGGACTCCTCGGCATTGCGCACCCTCCAGGGCCACCGGATCGGATCCCAGTGACTTAATGATCTACGAGCTCATCTTGTAACCAGAAGGTACTGGGTTCGAACCCCGTTCAGTGGGTGCGTACTGATGAAGAGTCCCAAACTGGGATAAACAACTATCTAGTAGTCCTTGCAGGTTTTCCAATAGTTCTCTAACCGATGTCAGCTCATGTTGAAATCGTGTAACCAAAAAATTTTATTTTATTCATTTTTATCACAATAGTACAACTCTTCGCACTCTGAACTGAAGTAGACAACCAGTTATGTTGTTCATCCTACAATGTTCATGGCGAATTGTTTCATTCTTGTTGATGACCGTCAATAAGTTTCATTCCTCATCTGTAAAGAATTTCTCCTTTCTGATAGACAGGTTTTTCTCAGGTCTCAGTCAGTTACTAATCTGTTTTACGTTATTCTACTTTTGAATGTATCGTCAGCTTATTACAGGAAACATAAAATACTAAATAAAAATAAGCATTAACTGGATTTGAAGAAAAAGCAAACAGCGCTTTAATATTTTCAAAGGATACTGATACTGAAGGTAGGAGTGTTCTGCACAAACTTTCAGAGAATCCATCAAAATCATGCATGCTTTCTGAAAAATAAAATGGTAAAAATTCAATCGATAAAAATACTCGTATAATGCTACAGGAATTGAATATCCAATTTAGAAACACGTAGAACTCAGAAGAACATGATAAAAAAACTGATGATCATTGACAGTCTAGTATCATTATATTGTCTGCCGGTAACCTGTGTTGATTACGGGAAATAACACCTGCGAGTAATTTCCAACTGTGCTCAGATGTCAGCTGGCGCTTTAGGTTGATAATAAGTACCCTTGAGACACATATGAAATAAATCCCATTGGTTAGCTAACTTGTCTTAATATCTAGGCAATCAGAGTGAAGTAGTTGGAAGTCCTGAATAATCCAAGTCTCGTCCTTGTTAGCATCCGTAATCAAGCCATATGTTCGGGAATGAAGGAATTCATTTTCTCACTGATATTTAAGATTGGTTTATACACAAGTAAAGTTAAAGATTTCAGTTAGATAAGAGATCCTTCACTGAGTCTTATGTAGGACTCCATTATGTATCGGAATCAGTCATTAAAATGTAAGCGATGTAGCTTTCTGGCGCTGTATGTGGTTGGAATTTATCTATCTATAAACTGATGAATTATATATAACACGGGGCTATAGCCAACTGGATTAAAGGACTAATAAATCATGACTTTGAAAGCTGCTAATGTCTGATTGATGTAATTCGTCACCAACTGTAGTACCTTGTATATATTTGCTGAGTAACATTTTATATAACTGATAGAATCAATCGGTCGACAAAGATTCTTTCTCAAAGACTATTTGCCATTGTGTTCTTTATATGATATCTGAACTGCAATCCATTAAGCAGATACATGGATTTCAGGATAACACTTGGGTTCACTGCTATCAGACTGCTTCGTGGCAAGCCTCAAGAAAGGTTCATTAAAGCCGAGCATCGACAATTTGCGACTTTATAAAAGATACGTAGATGACATATTCATTATTTGTGACAACAGTAATGACCCCAATCTACTGCTGCAGACACATAAATGCTGCCACCCAGCAGTAAAATTCACTCTTGAAATGGAAAATCAATCAAAAATTCCGTTTCTTGATGTGGAACAAACAAGAAGAACTGATGGGACCTTAAGAAGATCGATCGACAGAAAAGCTACTTGGAATTATCAACTAACAAGCTTCTATAGCTGGGTACCCATTCAACAAGAGCGGGATTTAATTAAATCCCTTGCCACCCACATCCGATGCATCTGTAATCCCGATATTCTAGAAAAAGAACTAGATCTTTTGAAAGAAATCTTCATCCAAAATGGATACCCACCAAAGTTCATTGATAAACATATCAAACCAAGAATTTGGAGAAATGAAACTTTACTAGCGCTGAAAAAAGAATTCTACGTGAAATTGGATTTCAAGCGAGATTTAGCAAGTGATATTCTCAAGAGAAGGATCACATCATCTCTGAGAAGAATATTCTTTGCAGCAACACTAAGAATAATGTCCTCCAGTCGCCCACTGATCTGCAGAAGCCTTAAGGACAAGATCCCGCATCTGACCACGTGTATGTGCATATATCAGTTCACCTGCTGCTATGGAGCCAAGAGGATTTAAGAACAGTATCCAGCATGGCTGCGAAAAGGCAATAGTGGTGCTAAAAGGAGTGCGATAATTGAACACCTGGTTAATACTGATCATTCCATCTCAACAAACGCCTCCTGCTTCAAAGTAATCTACAGAGTCAAGAATAACCTATCAAAGGCAATATGTTTTGTCTTCTTTGTATCGCTGAACCTCTAGCCATTCATATAGAAAAAACCAGAGATATGCATACAAAAGAGAATTGCTCAACCAATTCTACTATTATGGTTACAACTTTGTTGATTTTTGTTGACTTAATTTTATTTATTTGCCTGTTTCTTTAACTGCTTATACTTCTTGTATATTCATTTAGAACTCTTACATAATTTCATTTTCTCTACTTTGTTTCTATGTGTATCCTGAGTAAAACTCAATCATCAAACTATTCCTATTAATACGTAACCCCTTTGAACAACTGTTTGTGACAACTCATTACCTTTGTTACTACCCTAGTTTCATTAACACCCAATTTTCTTGACCGTTTTTGTATTACGTAACTCTACGCAAAACTTAATAATTCTCACCTCTTTAGTTAAAATAACCATAACCAATTGTTTTCAAGTATTGGTTTTGTAGGGATTTTGTTTGATTGCATGGAGGATTTCATCATGAGCTGACATCAGTTAGAGAACCACTGAAAAACCTGGGAGTACTGGGCAGCTGCTTCATCCTAGTTTGGGACTCTCCATCAGTACTCACCCAGCTGTCCAGTACTCCCAGGTTTTCCAGTGGTTCTCTAACTGATGTCAGCTCATAATGAAATCCTCCATGCAATAACCAATTGTGTTTTTGTTTGACAAACTTAATGTACACATACATACGAAATAATCCATATAATTTTGCGATTGTACAGCTAAGAAAATGAATTCGCGGGAAACAAACTCTTCACTGAACTACGTGTTTTGTTTTCATTAATGCATGGATAGGGATTATTCATGAAGTAACATTTGTAATTCACTAGGAATTTTCAACTCAACTTTCTCTTTATTATTTCAGTATACATCTATCAAGCATAGCTATATGATTTCCGTGGTTTACTGTTGGAAACCCATCATAATTTATCAGTTTACGTTTATCCAACGCTTCTGTCAGCGTAGATTTGACAATGTTTAGAAAAGAGGTGAAGTTTCTTTATGAACCTCAAAGTAAATTAAGAGAACGTTACGTCCTAAATTCATTATGGACAAATTTTGAGTTATCTAAATTACTTATAGGGGATAGAGTTTCGCTACTATTTTTGAGTAACGTGAATTAACTTGCCCACTTTGATGCATAATGCATCTCAATACAAAACATAAGATTGTTAAGAATACAAATCAACCTAAAGTCAGTATGATTCAGTATGTTTTTTGTAACTTTTCCAACAGAGTTAATTTTTATGAGGCTACCAAACAGAATTTTTAGGATACACTAAGATTCCTACAAATCAGAACCGTGAACTAAAGCTATTAGGTGTCTGAAATAATTAGCAACGTAATTTCAGTTTGACTAAGACAAAAGTGAATGCCATCAGGATTTCCGTTTTATTCTCAACTATCACTAGCCAAAACAATTCGAGGCCATCCCAATTCATCTAAATACCAAATATTTTCAGGGTTATGTGTTAATGTCATCCAAAAAGATTGAATTACAGATTAAAAATAGAAATATTAATATATCTGATTAGCGATGAAACCGACTTTTACACCATGAGATGAATTCATTGTGTTTCACAATGTTTTTGTGACTGCTGTAAAAGTTTTCCTCACTGCTTTATTCAGACCAAGTAAAAACTATCTTTACTAACCTTTGAGACAGCTGTGATTTAAAATAGTGGATAGGTGTGTAGCATTAATTGTTTTTGTCTCAGCATTGCACAACTGGGCAAATCTTTCTTCCATTGAATAAAGTTCAGACTAAAACAGTGTGAAAATATACAGAAATTTTGTTTCACTATAAATAGAATACGATATAATAAGCGGACGGTATTCTTTCCAATTAAATCTTCTTCAAGCTTTACTCTAGTGTAAATATCTTTATGTATACAGAAACATATAAAGATAATTCGTACAATGAAAATAAGGCATACATGTGTAACACAAATATTATTATTATTGTTGTTTCCTTTAATTCCCAGAGGAACATAGGGCTTCAGTCTCAAGTCTCCATTGCGTTTGGTTCTTCGCCAACGTTTTCACCTAGCTCCAGGTCTGCCCATATGCTTAAATCTCCTCTTCACGTGATCTCCTCCATGTCACCCCACCCTCGCACTGACGACCAACTAGCCCCTTCCCATTCGGGTTCTACTCGAGTGATGGCCTACCGTGTGATGTCACTTGATGGTTTGTTTTCTCAGAGTATTGGCAATCCACCTCCATTTCTTGCTGTAGATTTGTTGCACAGTTGGTTCCTGATGGGTTGGTTCGCTCATTGCCAGAGACCCCTGTTGCTGATCTTTTCTGGCCGGCCATTTGATCTTGGGTAGTGAGCGAAGACAGATGTTGATAAAGGTCTGTAGTTTGTTCGAAGTGTCCTTCGTGAGGCGCAGTGCAAGTCTCTGATCCGTATAGTAGCACTGACTTCACATTGAAGTTGAAAATCTGGGTGTTATTTTTCATGCAGAGTGCTGTTGACCTCCACAGAGACTTGACAGTAATGAAAGCTTACCTTGCTTTCCCGATCCTTGCTTTGATATTCCCATCAGTTCCGTGCATCTGTAGTTGAAAAGATGCTTCCCAGGTAGGTAAAGGAGGTGGCTTCTTTCATATTTCTCCCATTTATGCTTATTGTTGTCTGTTGTTGTTGCTGTTACTGTCTCTGTTGGCAAGGAGTCTTCATCACCTCTGTTTTCTCTATGTTCACCTGAAGACCTATCTTCTCTGGATGCTTCTTCTGCCAATTTGTTGATTTTCACTTGCACATCCTCTAATTTGTGGAAATCAGAAATATATCATTGGCGAAATCCAGATCCTCCAAGTCTTTTGTGTGGGTCCATTTTATGCCTGTTTCCTCACTACCCAAACCGCTGTCTGTCTGTCGCACTATCCAGTCTACTGCAATCAGGAAAATCATTGGTGATAGTAGGAAGCCTTGTCTTACTCCCGTCTTCACTTCGAAGGATTCCGTGAGTTTCCCATTGTGGATTACTTGGCATGCAGCGTTATCCTACAACTGTTGGATGAGATGTATAATTGTCAGTGACACCCTGTAATAGCGAAGTAGTTGCCAAATCACCTCTGGATCGACACTGTCGACGGCCTTTTCAAAGTCGATGAAGTTGAGATAGAGAGGTGACTGCTATTGCAAGTTCTGTTCAGTGATGATCCGTAGTGTGGCGATTTGATCAATAGATGACCTGTTCATCCTGAATCCAGCCTGTTCCGGTCGAAGTTTTTCATCCAGAGCATGTTTGATTCTCTCCAGGATGATGTGGCTTAGTATTTTCCTTGTGATGAACAGGAGCATAATTCCGCGCCAGTTCTTGCATTGACTTAGGTCTCCTTTCTTTGGTAGTTTGAATAAGTATCCTTTCTTCCAATCTTCGGGTACCTTGCCCTCTTTCTACACTTTCTCCAGTAGTGGTGTCACCAAGTCCGCTGATGTCTCTTGGCCCATTTTCAATGCCTCTGCTGGGATTCCGTCTGGTCCTGCTGCTTTTCCAGTTTTTAGCGTCTTTATCGCCTTCGGGATTTCTGTTTTCGTCGGAGGGTTGATATCCACTGGTAGTCCAGCTTCCGTTGTTGTTATTATTGGGCGCATTGTAGGTGGCAGTCGATTTAGAAGTCTTTTGAAGTGTGCTTTTGGGTGTCTTTTTCTTTTGAAGTGTCCCCAAAGTGATTATACTTTTTATCGTTCACCAGTGATGTCAGAGACTATGGCTATCCATCTAGACAAGATTATAAATCCCAAAGAGCATTTGAGTGTTAATCACTACAGAAATCCAGAAACAATATTGACCACCTAGTTTTTGAAATAAAGCAACCACTGTACAGCTGTTGCACATCTGGGTTTACTATGAGTAGTTTTCAAAACCTGATTTTTATTCACCAGTTAAATCCTTATTACATGATCAAGTCACACACGTATTTTAGGATCATGTTTTTCATAGGTTGGCTGACTAATATCGATCTTGTGAGTAGTCATCGTAGGTGAACACTATTCAGGCTTTTGTTTTACTATAAATTTATTATCTATCGTACCTACTGTCTGTTCCCTTCAGATTGTAATAATAAGTTGATGATTTAAAATCAGTGTAAATCTCGTTTTCATATATGTCCAATCAGAGAAAAAGAAAAGCAGTGATCTAATTACCTAACAACATTTGTCAAATGTTTGGCTTCCAGCAGCTAGCTACTGTTTTAAGATAATACAGATGGTATGTGTAATACAACATCCCAGACTGCATAGTACCAGTTATCATATCAGCTAGTATTTTTAGACATAAGATTCCTTTACAAACCAATGAACTGCAAAAAGAAAAATTAATAAGACATTTGAAATCACTCTGATAAACCTTAGAAAGTAAACTGCCTAACAACTTACTAGCAGTGTCGCTTCGAGAGCGTTAATTATCTCCTGTATTGAAGAAAAACAATGAGAGAAAGCCAAAATAAACGAATTTTTAGCAATTTATAATACTTTAAAAACACAAGACTCTTTACGTTTACAATTAAAGCATAGTTTGACTATTTTTACTGACAGTCATAGAACTGATGACAAGTTTTGTATAAAGAGGATATTGTTTTTCATTCCTAAAACGCTGTGCAATAAAAGCACTACAAGACTAATGTGAATCCGGCTGAAAACAAACAGTGCATTGTTTTAAAATGAGTAAACGGAATACCGTGGGAAGCTATTTCCCGATATTTGAGTTCTCTTCATCTCTGAGAAATCATAATTTGCATGAGAGGTAAGCGTTCGAAATGTTGAATTTTCAGTGAGCAGTTTGTCACTCGAAAACGCTGTTCAGTAACACTGTCAGCACTGAGTTTTGCCTTTTACGAGGGGAAAGGGTAGTAAATGAAAAATGTAGAATAGCAGGAAACTATTAGCGACTGCGACCTAGTGTTCCTAGATTAGTACTGTGAAACTATCAAGTGCATAGGTGTTTCAGAGGCAGAATCATTGGGAATCACACAGAAGATACGAGTCTGATTCCCGGATGTCGCACTTCTCAACCCTGCCTAGTTCGCTAGTCGGTAACAAGCTCGGAAAAGGAGCGAAGGTTGGATGGAAAGTTAGCATCCCGATCCAATAAGGAATAATACCAACGCTGCTGAAATTTCAAAGTTTGAAGACCTATTTTCCAATTGGAAAGTAAAATACTGCAAAACTACCAACTTTGTTATATCTTGTAAAAATTAAAGTTTGTTTCGGATCGATCAAGTGGTGAAATTTCAATAATGAATAAATGACTCGACAAGCCACACACTACGATAATTATGTAGAATACAGTTCCACGGACTGGAATCTTTGGTTTCACTGTTAGGCTTCTCCTGATTCATTTGTTGTAAGGACAGTAGAAGTTATGAGATATGCGATTCAGATGCTAAATCATTCCTTTTTCACATACTTGGTGAGAACAAAGCTTTCGCTATCAAAATTTCTATCTCTTGTTCAATCGTATTTAACATTTGTATGCGTTTCTATTCAGTATCGTTAACTAGACTTTCTCTAGATTACATATTTTATTTAGGCTTACCAAGCTACATGTTTCCACACTCCTGCGCTTTGGCTGCCTTACTAAATACTTTCAAATCTTTATAGGTCTATTTTGTATTACCAGTTTTAGCCAGCATTAAGAAAAACACAAAGAAGCGAGCCTCCTGCTCAAACAAGCATCATGAAATATGTGCAGTGTAGCTTCATTTGTGACAAACTGGGATGAAGTTATCCCATAGTAGTTACCACACTTCATGTGATGTTGAAGCAACCAGTCATATTATTAATCATGAATACCGCTGATATATTGCCATCATAGTTTGCTCCTAATGCGGCTTCCTAGTTTTTTGTAGATAATTTATTATGCTTAACCGGAAAGATTTCACACCACTTGTATAGCAAAACTATCAGGTGTAATTATAACACTCTTCATATTGTGAGATGAAATTTCCTAACAAATCTACCACTTTTAACTTTCCTTTACCCTGACTGATTGATCATGACCATTTAGGAGGCTGTCAGTGGAGGCTACGATGGCTAAACTTTCCCCCGTTTGATGTAAAGATGAATTTTATGCGGTAGATATATCAGTCAGAAGTCATAAACTGAAGTGATTTGGAATTTCGCAAATTTTTAAGGTTTGATTTTTGAAGCACGAGCTACTGGGTTTTAGTTTTGTTAGGCACATCGTTACCCGATTGGATGCAGGTATTTTCAGAGTAGAAGTCTGATAGAGGGAAATGGCTGATGGATTTCAATGTTATCTAACATCAACAAAATAATATTAGGCTTATGAGTCTTTACTATTCAAATATGTAATGAATTTCTGTGATTTATAAAAGCATATAGAATTTAAAATGTTTTCAGGTGAAACATTTAATTAAGAAAGGAAGTCAACTTGCTTTTGGAATTCCTTCATAAATATTTGTATCATCTAATTCCCTAGAGTAAAAATTGAAATAAAAATAAGGGTACAATAACGAAAAAAATTTTCATTTTGAAAAATGTGGTAAAATTCATTGGAGAACAACAAGAAGAAGAAGTTGTGTCCTAGCCTCTCTATATGTTCCTTACTAGAGTTAATGAAATATAAATATAATGAGCTTGATTTAAACTGGTGAACTGTGAATTTATCTTTTCAAAAGTTCTACCACATCTACCTATCCTCAATTATATATAGAAGTGAAAGGAAGTAAATTGATTCAATCTAGAATGTTTCTTTCAGGTGACTCGTGCGGAAGCTGTAAAATAGCATGTGTACAACTTAAATTTGGTAGGAGTGTGGTGAGGGCTAGCTACAAGTCAAAAACTGTAAACAGACGTTTACGTCAATGTTACATCCGGAATGGGGGTCATGAGAAAAAACAATAGCAAAGCTTAATCTTGAGGAACCCATCAACCAATCACAGCAGACTTAACATGTGCAAATACGATTCGCAGATATGTGGCTTAAATTTCTAAGCAACAGTCACAAGCAGTACAGAATAACCTTTGGCACGAAAACAACCAATCAGAAGGCGTTGCTTCTCTGCTAACAGTAATGCTAATAATGTACACAAAAATCTATAAATATCTGTTGATTTTCTCAATACACGATCTGTTGTCTAGCCCTTGTCTTCTGTCGTTACAGTAGTAGTAATGGAAGCAGCGATGAAAAAGTAATACATAAACATAATTTTACAGCTTGAGAATGAATAACTAAAAGGTTGTGCTTTTCACTCACACCAGTTGAGTTTGAGTACAGTCACTCATAAGTTAGAGATACGCACTGTAATTCAACCCAACAACTGAACGTTAGTGAACTTGCCTTACAATCTAAGAGTCGCAGTTTTGATTCGGTACAGATCAGTGGTCATACACTGCTGAGAACTCTTAGCAGAGAAGAGAAACTTGTTCATTAAATCCTCGTTTATAACAGTTGTCCAAATGATGCCGGTCTAAAACAAACTCTACTCGTTGAAGGTAAAGTGACCCTCTACTAATTAAATTTAACACCTAATAATTACCTTTAAAGTGACAACTCCAGTTGGATAAACATCAGCAGATAAATACATGCAATTACTGTCGTGTGATTTGTTAGTAATACTATCAACTGCCTAGAAGGTTTACCTTCAGTCCTAAATAATTTATGTCTGTCAGTGTCACAAACGTACTGAACTATCAGAGATGAAGTTAAACATAATCTATCACTGTTGCTGACGAGTTTTTATTATTGGTTTAATTGTAATAGAACTGGTGCGTAAGTTTAATCTCATCTTGTTTTGTCTGTTAAATGATCATTAAGCGCTTCAAGATTTGTGCAAGACATTGTCCCAATATTATCATTATAAATATTATTGTTATTCCCAAAGGTTCCGACTGGAACTTCACCACCAAATCTCCATTTCATCCCGTTCTCTGCAATCCTTTTTACTTGACTTCAAGATTGCCTATAATCTCCCATCTCCTTCTCTCATGATTTCCTCCATGTCTCCCTCTGACTCCCAAATCGTCGTTCCCTGTTGAGGTTCCACTCGATGGTCTGCCCCAGGATGTCATTAAATGGTTTCTTTGGACTACGTCCAATCCATCTCTATTTTCTTCGCCATATTTGTTAATTTATAGGGTGTTAGTTGATTAACTGTCAGATTTATCTGCTGCTTATCTTTTCTCTATGGCTATCTGATCTTCAGTGTTAAGTGAGGGCAGTTGCTCATAAAAGTTTGAAGGCTGCTGGAAATGGTTTCGGTAATGTGTCAAGTCCGTGAACCACTTTGAAGGATTGATTTGATGTCAGTACTGAGGATGGACACCTTGTCCCTGATGTTGAGTCTAGCCGATTTCTTAACTGTTTTTAGAGGGATGATCCTATCTTTGACCTCCTCATCTGTATGGTCATTAATTGAAACGATGCTGCATAAATAGATGAAATAGGTGAATTCCCTGAAATTTTTTCTGTTTATTGTGGATGACGTGTGTTATTGTTTGTAGTTTGGTATCTTCATCACCTTTGTCTTTTCTATGTCCATTTGAAGTTATGTCTTCGTTGTCTGTCTCACGTGCCAGTTTGCTGCTTTTCGACTGTAAGTCTTCGAGTTTGCATGTCATTAGACACAGATCATCCACGAAGTCCATACCTTCCACAGATTTCTTTTCAGTCCATTGCATGTCTGTCTTCTCGTTCCCCACGGTCTGTCACAAGATCCCGACCACCACAATGTTTCTGTTGTGAAGCATCAATACGGGTGACTAGATAGCTGATAAGGATTTTTGAAGAATCAAAGTATAATTCTAAATATAATTATGTAACATGCCTCGTCGACAGCAATAAGCCTAACAGTCGCAAGATTAAGAAATCAAATTTTTAACATCTCTCCCTAGTTTGAGACTCAACATAAGTACGCACCCACTGGGGGTCAAACCCAGAACTTTCCGGATCCAAGTCAAGTTCGTTGACTATCCAGCCACTAGTACCCGACTCGCTATTCAGTTCATGAATTCTAACTTCAATCACTTCGTGCTTTTGGAGCAACCACTAGCCAGTGCCATCGGCGATTATCTGTCCTCACTCATTTCACAATTTCATGGATGTTAACACACTAATGTGAATGGATGTGAGTGATTGAGTAGAAGAGAGAGATAATGTTAAAGATATACTCAGCTGAGATAAGTATACACTTTACATAACTTAGCTCAGGAGATCGTGCATCCATTCATGTTCGTAAAATCTTTTAAAACTTAACGCCATGCTGAATGTCACAACTATCTATTGTCTCAATATTGTCAGGTAATTCCTTAAGAGTAATTTTAAGTTTCCCCTATTTGATTGTCGAATATCATATGTGTAATACATTCTGTGACTGACTTAATATGTAGTGACTTCAATGCTATACCACTGCTTAGAGGTTGTGTTTTGTGACATACTAGTTCTTTATCATGACTATGGATGTGTCATGCACTACAGTGGATGAAACATACATTTCGGCGTGAAAGCATGTAGTAAGACAATGTGAGATATCTTTTGCATTCTTTGCTTCTGTTTTCTCTACCTTCTGATTGGTGATGAGATTGAGTTTCTAGGTCTAAAGTAGATGATTCTTTAGAATAAAATGGATATAAGAACAACAAAGTTCAGCAAAGAGTCTCTTTTCGACAAATTCATGCACTTAGCTGTACAATCGCACTTATATACAGTTATTTTGTGAGTGTATGTGTGTGTGTGTACACCAGGTTCACCAAACAAAAATAGAAATTGGTTGAGGTTACTGTTTACGTCATCAGAATGTTTCCAAAATGTGATGAATAATCAAAACTGTAACTGGGGCCGTGAAGACTTGTAAGTATTGACAAGGTTTCGTAATATGAAATTGGACGTTAATGGGGACACGTGTTCAAAATAGATTATGTAATAGGTAGAAAGAGTAAATAAAAGGTTAGTTAAGAAGACGTTACTAAGATAACCAACGTCCTAAAGAAAAGAATGTCTAACACCCTGAAAAGAAAATTCTCTGCTGTTACATAAGGATTGGTATTCTCAAGCAGCTCACTGTTTTCCAACAACTCCAAAGATAAAATATCGCATCTGACCATTTCTTTTTATATCTACCAACTTACTCGCTCATATGGAGAGAGATATATATAGGTCGTTCGAAACCTCCCGAAAACGGTAGGCTTCCGTATACTTTGTATTGCCAAGGTCTTTTGTTCTGTTTTTTCTTGAATTTTTTATATGACATCCTATGGCGTCTTCTTAACTAACCCTTTATTTACTCTTTCCACCTATTATATAATCTATTTTGAACACGTGTCCCCATTAACATCCTATTTCACATTACGAAACCTTGTCAATACTTACAAGTCTTCACAGCCCCAGTTACAGTTTTGATTATTCATCACATTTTGGAAACATTCTGATGACATAAACAGTCACCCTAACCAATTTCTATTTTTGTTTGGCGAACCTGGTGTACACACACACACACTCACAAAATAATTGTATATAAATCCGATTGTACAGCTATGTGAATGAATTTGCTGAAAAGAGACTTTTCACTGAACTTTGTTGTTTCTATATTCATATCTGGATGGGCATTTTCTGTGAATTAAAAGGACGTGTTTACTTGAAGTCAAAGTATTTATCTGAATGTTTTAGCTGACGTTACATTACTTAACACTGTTATTAAATTATACCATATTCTTGCGTAATGAGCATTCACTGCTTTTCCTATATTTTTTCAAATCAAGTTCTTCATGATAATGGAAGATATCAGTTATGTATTACATCTAAATGCAGGATTTTTTAAGACTGGAAACTCATACTTGTTAATTTTAAAATCCTGTTATGCGAAAAAAGTTAAAAAACGGCAGCTAATATGTGATTCGTAGTCGAAATGCAACTTACTGTTGAGTCATTTCACTTGAACTCAATATACGAAATATGAATTTGCATTCTTGATTTGGTTGATTTGTTGTCGGTATTACTATAAATGTTCCAGAGAACAAATTTTCTTCAAGTGTGACTTCACGTCGCGGTATATAGTCTGATGATGCCAGTGGTTTACGATCTGCTAGCTGTTCTGCTGTTAAACGTGTTCTTTGATTAGCAGATACCTAACAGATAAAATAAACTATTTACGAATTGGTTCTTCACTTCAACTTCAATGTTTTTACTCTGTTAGTCATTGAAAGAAATGTTTTCATTTATAACTTGAATAGAATGTGCTCATCACCAGAGATAATTACTCTAGCAGTCCATATCAGATACAGATCGGATATTTTGGAGCAACTTCAGTCACTCTATGCAGTGATGCACTGTTTTCTAATGGTATTTAAGCAGATCACCCTAAAAGTTGGAATAACCAGTATATTAATTCAAAGCCAAAGTTAAATATCGTGTGTTTTCATGTAATATCAGCAAATCGAAGCTATCGTAAACTATGTATCCGGCTGAATGACAGATAGTAGATAACGTGAATGTCTGGTGCAGTGTTTGTCAAAAAAATCCATCCGTCACATCTGGAGTAATATTACTAGGTTAAGCTTTCTCATACTTTTGCTCAGTGAAATAACGCAGTCCATTTGTCACTTAGAATTATTTCAATAAGGATGTCGTCATTAGGACTTCTGTTGGTTAGTTTTTGATGTAGTTGTGTTCTATGAGCTGGATAATTTGTTTGCGAAGCTTTCATTGCCCTACTAGGCAACATCTTCAGTGCATACTTCAGTTTGAAGTGACCTTTTAGATTTCTCCACTAGCTTATTAGTCGTCTCTCCTGGTGAACTTGAAAGTGATTGGTTGTTTTTGTGTTTTTTCACACCCTGTAGGCCACTCACATTGGAACTGATTGTTTCCTTGACCCGAAACTTGACCCTTTGTGTGTGAGATTTCCTGCTTATCGGTTGGTAAATTTTGTCTATCTCGATGTGTCTATTGATTGAAGATTCACTGGAATACCAGGCTTCTAAAAATTCTCTAGCATTCTTGGTGTTTTCTCTGTCTAATATTTGAAAGTTGTCTCAGTCAAATTGATGTCCGTGGTTGTCTGTATGCAGTGATATGAGAGAGTGGATGTCATGTCTTTTGACGACTAGCTTGTGCTCGCGGATACGAAGACGAGGGGGACGTCCACTTTGGCCAACATAGTGTTTTTAGCAGTTGTTACAGTTTATTTTGTAGATGATGTTGGTTTTATCTTCTTTCGTTGTTGAGTCTTTTGGTTGACATAGAGTTGAGTGAATTGATTTTGTTGGTTTGTGTGCGACGTCAGTTTAGGGCAATGAAAGCTTCGGAATCAAACTTGCAGCTCACAGAACACAACAACATCACAATCATCCACCTGAGCTACAAATTTTTTGTATCATATTAGTTAATTTGTTCATAATGGTTTTGAGATAACGATAATTGTCTACATTACTTATGGCAATGTATTCTTCTATTTCTAAAATTGTTTCATTCGAAAACTTTCCTTTTCAACGTTAGGATTTTTTCTACTGTCTGACTCATTTATATGCATTAACGGAATGAAATGATAGTCCTATTTATGATACGTATCACAGTAGCAAAACAGATAATTGTCAGAATCTTGATTTCAAAGCTCACAATGACATGCAGAAAGAAGGGAAACAGTAAAATATAATCAGATAAAAAAGTCCTAATGTAAAAGATCAATCTTATTATGCTATCTTATTCATCTCCTAAAACGTTATAATGACCAGTTATTTATTTATTTATTCCTTCACGTTCCCAGTGGAACATAGGGCTTCAAGTAGGAGGCTTGAAGTTTCTGTAGCAGTGTTTATTTTCACAGGATGGGGTTGCTAACCTCATGCCCAACCTTTCCTCTTTACCAGTTTTTTTCTTATTACTGGCTTACCGAGGTAAAGGAGTGCGTCGGCCGGTGATTGAATCCCGGACCATGTGCATGGTCGGCGAGCATCCTAACCGCTGTGCCACCGACGCACCATAATGACCAGTACTTAGTGTAAATTAATTGGTGATTAACAATTTACACAGTTCTACGTGAAACTTCACCCCAGTTTTCTTTAGGAACCGAAATTATTCGGATTGCATTATACAATCTGCTTCGAACGATAAATCGTCATCAAGCAAACCTTCGTTAATCACACCATATACTACTAACTGCTTAATATGAGTAGTTTGAGGTTACCCAACATCAACTGGTAGAGCTTCCGAATCAGATGGGGAGTTATTTAATCACCGGACGGCTGTTTCACTCGACTGGGGCGGAGTTGAGTGATTCGAACAGATCAAGTTGTTGAGTGAAAACGGGCACACAGCTAATGAATTCGACCTCAAAGGAGTGAAGCGCCCATTTGGTGTTTGGATCACTTTGAGAATTCTCGACATCCACGAGTCACACAGGCTCTATCATGTATTGTTTAAAGGAAGAAAATATGTTTTTGAGGCAAAATCGTAAGTAAAACTTTACTCAGAATTACCTTCTTACTTACCTCATATAATGTAAAACCAATGCTCAAAAAGTCTCCACCATAATCACGTCTTCTGTTTTCTTGCATAACTCCCATGATTACAAGTGCTTTGGTTTGATCTTTCCTACTATTACACTTAATTGTGAATGAAAACTGAGGATTTGTGCTGTAAGATTCTTTTTAAGTAGGACAAAATAACAAAAAACAGTTTAATTGAACAGTAATTCTACTCACACATTTTGATTTGCTGCGGGACACAATAGTATGAATTTGATACAAAGGACAATTATTTTATGGGATTACTGGAACGCAGCTTTGATATACGGTAAATTTGAATGAATATTAATGTCCTGTAACCTAGAATACATGGAAGTGATGGCAGCACAATATTATATAACATTATTACTACACCCTTTGGCTCCGAGTGGGACATAGGGCTTCAGGAGCAAATCTCCATTTCATCTTGTTTTCTGCAACCCTCTATAGCTTGCTAGACGACTTTCATTTTCTCCTCCTACTCACCCGACTACTCCATGTCAACCTCGGACTAACATCCAACTTTTATTTAGTGCTTTACTTGTGATGACAACAACCATTATATATGCGAAATCTGAAGATTTGTGTAAAACCTGATACTGAATAATAAAAAACTGCTGCACTCTAGTACAAACATCTAATAATTATTTACTGGATGGAAGGTTCCGACTTGCTAAGATTATAGAATTTCAGAAGGGTCCACCCAACAAATATGATGAACGTTAGAATTGTGAACCAAAACATGAATGATAAAGTTAAATTACCTCTAATTTAGAGTGATACTTTGAAAATAATATACTTAACTTCTGATCTTTGCTTCATTGTGTACAAAATAATATTTTGCATTATGTCACTTTGTTTTATGCAATTAAAATAACCTACCTATGTTATTCATCGGTCCACCGGCATTAACATTTGCACACCATTCACCGGCAAACATAATTTCGTTCATTCGTTGTTTCCCTCCAATTTCATCGTTATAATCTAAACTACCTAGCCCGAGATGGCATACTTCAAGTAGACCAAAATTATCTTCAAAATCCTCTAATGACATCCTAAAACATTAAACAAATAATTAATAATTAGAAAGAGAAATTAAAAAACAAACAAAAGTTTTCAGTAAAAGATACGGATTATCAATTCAAGAGGGAAATGGAAATAGAGTGGTGCGCCTTAAAATGATGGCGATCGCGCTGTCACCAGCTTTCATGATATTGTCAACACTAGTCTCGTTAATAGATCTTATTTAAGTTTCCCGCTTGCCTTGCAGCAAATATGTCTTAATTAGGAAATTTATATAGCAGTTTCCCTTCATCACTTTCAGCAAATCAGGAATAATACATTTCATAGAATACCATTGTATTGGATCACTTTCTTTTCAATTGTCTGTCAGCTAACTAAAACTGCATGACAATTTACACACGAAGACCGATTATCTGTTTACCTCATTGATAATTTGGAATATAGTTGTTCGATGATGTTGCACTAATTAAGAATTTGTTATCAAAGAGCATATAAACTACACAAAATGTAGTCACTGACCATGTATTCATTCAACAAAAAAAGAGAGGCGTTACATAGGTAAGTGTGCAGAATACGAGGAGGAAACATTCGAAAAGGATTAGCCTTTGTTTGCTGAAATGTATTGGAAATTCTACGTCTGCTGGAGCAGAAATTACCCAACGAAATCAGTGCTTAGAATGATGCTTCCATATACATCAAAATATTAGTGCCGAAAGAAATCAGAATTTTATCAGAGCATCCCTAACAACAACTAATAATAATAATCGCTTTGTTCCAAACAATTATAGTAATCATACATAATGGAAATTTAAGCGTTTTTATACACATTGCAGCAATTTGCCTCCTTTTATAAATATATATACATAAAATGTAAAAAATAATAATAAAACCACTAAAACTGAAAGTTAGTGGAACTTAATGAATTACAAATAAATAATATGACAAATAATACATGTAATAATAATAATATTTGCTCATAATTTGCAGCTGGTTACCAATCTAAAAAGTTTATAAGTTCTTTTCTGACATCTGACTCTCCACATAAAACCCGAGCTAAATATGGAATAGTGGAATTTTTATATTTAGTTGTACGAGTGTAAATTCTTATGTAGTTTCTTCTGGTTTTACACGAAGATACACAAGGAGAAAGTTGAGAATGACGAGGATTTTCAGCATCAGACAAGATAACTTTAGCCTAATGCTTGCTAACATTGAAGTGCCTATTGACAATAATGTCAGTTAGCTGAGTCAAGGGAACACCACTAACCCTATTTATAATCTTCAGTGGTCTACGTAATATAACAGTCTTTTTTGAGAAGTCCAGGGAAGAATAACGGCGAACAATAAAGGAGAATTGGCAGAATACATGAATTAAAAAATTGTAAGAGAAGAGCTTGACTTATGCCAGGAAGTCTCAACTTCTTTATGTAATCAGTCAAAAGAAAAATTTTCTTAGAAATCAACACGATATGAGACGACCAACAGAGATTCGAAGAGAAACTGATGCCGAGATGAGAGATATTCGATTTACTCCCTATCACAGAGTTGTCAACTTCACAGGAATCACGCGACTGAATCAGTACACGCAAGTCTTGTTCGCATCTGAAACTAAAATCAACAATATGACATTTAGATGGATTCAGTTTAAGACCATTTAAGTTAGACCATTTTTTAACTTCAGACAAGAATCTATTCATTTAAGAACAATCCAGAGCAGAAACTACTGGGACACAAGTGGTTGCGTCGGTGGCACAGCTGTTAGGACTCTCGCCGACCATGCACATGGTTCAAGGTTCGATCCCCCGCCGACGCACACCTCCTATCTATGGTCGGCCTGCTAAATTGGCGCTACCGATATCACATGCTGAAAATTTCATACTTGTACCAAACTACTGTGTGGAATCAAGCTATAATAAAAAAAATCATCGGTATATTTAGTGAAGTTAGCCTTGGAAGAATATGGAAGGTCATACAAAAAGAAAGATAAAGGAATGGAGAGATCACAGCGCCTTGAGACACACCAGTTTCTGTTAGCAAAGAAGTGGAATGCTTCCTATTCAAAACAGTATGTTGTTTTCTACTCGACATATAAGAAGACAGCCACCCTGTGACTCATGACTCAGTGTTTGCTAAAATCAGCTTGCTTAGTAAAAGTGCCTTAGGAATGGAGTCAAAAGCAGCAGTATAGTGTAAAAAGGAGGCTTGAAAAAACTTTGCACCTTTATTAAGACTTGAAACAGTATTGGGGTGCAGTAAAGCGACAGCATCTAATATGCTTCTACTGTATTTGTAAGCAAACTGCTTTGAGTCATTAAGAGATTTCAAAGAAGGCTTAATAATATGCAAGAGAGGTTTCTCCATAGTTTTCAAAAATTCAGACGTAATGACGATTGGCCTAAACTTTAGACCTGATCCAGAAAATGATTTTGGTTTAGGCACAATCTTTATTTCTTTCCAGACAACAAGCACTGTATCCCTGCTAAATGATACATTAAAGATTTGTGTAAGAGGATAACACAAAATATCAGCACACCTTTGAAGTAAAGTGCTTGCTACATCATCGGGACTAAGATTGTTTGATAGATTTAAGGATTTGAAACGTGACAATACATCCTTTTCATTAAAACCAGGAAAATGGTCATTTACGTGAACAGAAACGCCAAATACAGTCATAGTAGCCTGTTGTATTATAAAAGATCGATTTAAGGCAGTCACATCAGGATAAGCATCAACTGCAAGCTGATTAAATAGTTCTCAGATGCTAGAAACATTGTTAGATGATAAAAAACTTTCATAATATATCTCATTTAGTCGACCTTATTAGAGTTTATTCCTCGAACACCAGCATTATCACGTGTTTTATACAAATTCTACAAACACTACAAACATTTACTAGCATAAATGAAAGTGTGTTGACTTAGATTGGAACCTTGGAAACTAGCGGTTCATGAATGATTTGCAGTGTTTGTCTGACACCATAAATGAGCCACAGGACAAAATCACTGATGAAATCCTCATTCGACTTCACCCATTCGATTATCATTTGATCAAGCAAAGAGTCAGTAACAACAGTCTGTCTGCTTATACTTCTAGGATACCTTATTTGTTTTTCAATATTAAATACCACCTCATTCTATTAACATTCATCGACAAATACTGTCGTTGTCAATTTATTCTTACAATAAACTTAATTCACATCACAGGGGTTATTTACCTTCAAATTCTTGATATAATTCACCAGAAGAGTGGTTGGTTCACAGTTATTTATTTAAATAAGTTTTTCAAATATAGGTAAATATAAACTTACCAAAATTCTCCATCTTCTTTATCCTTGTATTCTAATGCTTTTTTATCTCTATTTTTAACATGCTTCCATTCTTCTGATTTATCTGACCAAGGTCCTTTCCATTCATGCTTTTCTCCCCAAGGATTACGACAACGCACTAAGTATTGGTCTTTGCCCTTATAATTAACCTTTGAAGGGAATAAATAAAGTTAAAATTATGTGTGTTTAATAAACTTTATTGAAATTACACTTAGTAACTGCAGAGTATGTGACGACAGCCAAATGGGGTTAAATAAGATAAGGAATTATTATTTATTTCTCTATGAGATTGAGAAACTGATGAGAAGTTGTAAAGTCGACAGCCGAAATCATGACAAACAGACAGAATATGACAAACTGAGGGTTACGTTTATTTTGCAGTTGGGAATACGATATATAATTTTTATCAGCGCAAGTATTCAAAAAGTATTCTCATCAACAGATATAGATAGAGCAAGATAGCGCAAACTAAAGACAGTCGTGTTCTATGGAAGTCTAGCTCATCTTCAGTTTACTGAGAGTAATTCAAGCACAAACGAAGTGGTATTACTTAAAATTCCACGAAGGCTTTGAAAGTTTATCATCTGGACTCCGAATAAAATAAGGAATATTATCAATGATTGATATTTTCTTGCAGTACTAAAGCGAAGATGTGGAGTCCTAAACAATAAATCTGCTCAATTTTTGCTAAATGTCAAAAATGGGCACACTGTACATTGTTTTTGTTTCATCCACTTCCTTGTCAATTATGTATAACTTTGGCGTTCGAATGAAAATATAGGCGCGCTATCCGTCGCTTCATCTTCTTACTGGTTCATACTGTTTCTTTGTTTCACTAATATCCGTATTGTATTCTTTGGAATTTGCAGGAACATTCTGTCCTATTTAACAACAGGTTAACAACTTCTACCAGTGGACACGACCTCAGTAGTAAAATGGATCTGTGGATTATATTGTTGATTCTTAGCAGTGAACTATAGCTGTATTTTCAAGTAACCCCTAACTTTTTAGCTCGTTATCTGTATTTTTATAATATACTAACTCGGTGTTCTTTTATTAACTTGGAATTTTATTCTGATATTTCGTACCGCTATTGAGCTCATTGTTAAGACCCTATAAAACATATGGTTCTTAGATTAAACTTACCTTGATAATTCAATGTTGAAACCAAGCGTTGTCTGAATTGAGGATATTTCCTCACTTATTTTTTACTTTTTACCCTCGACTTTTCCCTTAGATGAGGTAAACTGATTTAGTTTTACCCTTTTATATTCCTAACTTTTGCACAAATGTGCACGACAAGCACTTATGTGATTAGAATGTCCAAAATGGGTTGAGAAAATACATTCTTGTTTTTGAATGATCTTGGTTTTTGACATGTGCACTCAACTTTCAGGAATTATATCCTCAATTTAAATCTCCCTAACTAGCTAGCTAGTTAACTAACCTACTTCACGTGTTTGTTGATACTTAAAACAGAGGTGGCAATTTTATTTCGGAAGCAGAAAATAGGTTATGTCACAACCGCTGGTCTGGTACACTAACCACTCAACAGGTTGCTGGTCATCTAATGACTTCGCTTTAATCATTTCGCAACATTTGGAGGTTAGATACATTCAACTTAACGCGTCATAATCACATTTGGTGGGACGATTCGGTTAGACAGTGAGATTTTACGACAGGTATTGAATTCTATTTCGTCAGGAAGAGATATCTGACAGCACGGAATCAGTGCCAGTATAAAAGCCCCGGACACATAATATTGGCTGTTAATGTGCAACCAATCAAAGCAAATAACGTGTTTATTTATAAGAGTAACTTACACAGCCGAACCCTGTTAAGCTGTAAGCATGAGATTCAATCAGTCCTAACTGTTCCCTTTTCTTAATACGCTCACCCTATAAATAAATACACACAAAACAGAGAAGATAAAACTTTGATTAAGTAAATAGGTAGGAGATTAATTAACAAATTTGTTGTTTTTGCCTTCCTACTGTCCGAAAGAGATTGTTCATCTTTAAAACAACACAGTCTCATTCAAATTCTTTGGTTCGGAGAGAATTTCAAGCCTAAAGTGGTTAGTTTTTTATGATATTCAACTAGTCAAGGCACTTGGATGAATAAATTTTCTTTTGGAGTGAAAAATGGATAATTTTAAATTCGTATGACTACCAATTTATCCTTTAAATTACAGAAATGAAAATATAGTGAAGAGAGTCATCCTCATTACACAAGTTCAAGTTTATCTGCAAACCACGTTGGTAAATGAATGACATAATCACTCAGCATGCTCTTACTATACTATAGTTGTTATACTGTACTATCTAAAACATTTTCTATTCGACTAGTTCTTATTTCAAAATGCAAGAGTAACTTACGAGAAATATCAACTGATTTATAGAAGTGATTGTTTAAATTATTCAGATTTATATAAACAATAAAACTTACGTCAACATCACAACCAATAAGACAACATGTTTTTGAATATCTTTCCAACATTTTCAATAAATCTGGTGGGCGAGCTTCACCTCTTAAAATGAAAGTTTGACATATCCCTCCAGTGAAGTCCTCCATTGCTTCACTTTGAAATCCACCAGTTAAATGTTCATATGTACCACAAAGTCTATGCATGATAGTAAAACATAAAGGTAACATTAAGAAATGTAAACTGTCTAGGTAAACATATAAATATCATAACTAACAATTTCAGCTTTCTAAGTGGCTTCCGTCATTATATCAACGTCATCTAATAAAACTAAGTGGCAGTGGAAAGGTGTTCTGAACACTCTAGTATTGCAATGTCCATGAATTTATACGATATCTAAAACAAAATATAAATTAAACACAAATGAAGTGGTCGGAATGAACAGAACTCCATCACTTCACTGCAGTTATAAGTCCATGTATTTCTCTGAAGAAAAATGATGCCATTCATGTTTCCTGGTAAATAGGCAGTCTTAAAAAAGAGACATTATAAAATACTTATTCTTCTTATACTAAAATGGTAGTCACTCGGCGTCGGTATACCTGGTAACTTTTACAATAGGTGGATAGCTAGTATCATTAATGGCTAATTTAAATGCTGAGATAATAAAGCTGAACAAAACAAAATTGAAGCCAGTATACTGTGAGCTTGTAAGACGTCAGCTTTTTGAAATTTATACAACCCAATACGAATTTTCGCTGGGATTGTTTTTCGAAAGGCATGAGATTCAAATGAAAGTGTGTAAAAATGGTTTACTGTATATACTACTGTAGAATTGTAGAACTAGATATGTCACAGTCCACTGTTTGGATGACCTCCGGACGGTTAGCATTCAATTTCACTTGACACTTTGGTTCCCAGCTAATTACATCAAACATAAGTATGTACATGTCAACCTGAGACCGAGAACTTCGGTCCAATCAGTCGAATGGAAAATCTAAAATCTAATTAAATAATTAATATGGCTCGTTGTACAAGAGGTGGCTCTCGTGGCCCAAGTGGTCTAGTGGAAGATGGTTTGACGTTTGAAGATATGGGCACTGGGTTCGAGCCTCCATGGGAACATCATCACTCACTGCAGAATGCAGGCACATCCAGTTAACGAGTTCCGAATAGGGCGAAATGCGTATCATGGATTCCACTGCTAGTCATCACTATCCACCAATTAACTTATATGTATGCACTGTAGAGAATTGTGTTTGAATTCCTAGTTGCACTTGTGGTTCAAAGCAGGTCAGATACGCTGATATGAACATTTCCGTATCTCAATTTAGTTGGTCTTGCATAGTGTTGCACAGTCTCTGACTGCTTGTAATAATCAAAGTATTATCTCGCAGAAATTTGAATGAAACAGTATATATATAGTCTACCGGGGCTCATTATTAGGCTATCAATTCATATTATGCACTCAGATTTCTTATGAAATTCCTTTATTCTGATGTGCAGACGACTCAATATTTATATGAATTAGGTATCTAATTTTATAAGAGGAGTTCTGATAAATTTTCGAGTAACTAATCAGCACAATTTTAATGAAACACAAAATATAAATTTACTGTTAACAGATGAGTTACTTATGTGTACTGTGAATTTGTTTAACAACATTGCTTCGAAACTATACAATCATTCATGGCGCATATTTTACGTAGAATTTATTATAGATAGGTTTCAAGTTTGATCATGGATTCACGCTGGTTAGAGAACCACTGAAGACGAAGGTGTACTGGATGGTTGTTTCATCCTAGTTTGGGACTCTTCTTCAGTTCTCACCCATAACCCCACCGCGTATGGGACTCATGGCCCAGAGGTTACAAGCAATATCATAGACCATTCCGCTGCTAGAACGGAATCCGATGACCCATGAACTAATATTAATCCATGGTTGGACTTGAAAATAATCAAATCCCTACAAACTAACACTTGAAAAAAATATAAATAGGTTGTTTTATTATAACTCACTTAGCATATGCTTTTTCCAGTAATGACGACCAGAATTCTTTTCCGTCTGTCGAATGCATAAATACCATTTTACAAGTTCCCTTGAGAACAGGTAAACGGTCATCAATTACAACGTCTATCCACTGACCAAAACGCCAAAACTGAAAATGAACTGCACCTGAGTAATCTGAACCTTTGAGAGTTTGATTCTGTGGTATGACTTTAAACAAGAGTTGGGGGTACTTTGTAATTGAAGCAACTACTGCGTTAAACCAACAGTCACCTTTACACATGATAGAAAAATCAACAGAATTTCATTAATTCGATGAGTCACATAAAAATACTGACAAATGAAATAGCTGCAGACAGTATATAACCCTTGTGTAAAAATTATGCTTGCGAAACAGCAGCGACATTGAAATAAGTAATTCCAGAGTCTAGTTCGGCAAACTAGTCCGAACTTCTTCAGGGAAATTAATTGAAATTAAAGTAACAAAGGTATATATATATATACATTGTCCTTAAAAATTTTGTCCAACCATGTGAGTCAAGAAATAGGCACCAAAATATAATAAACAAAATTGCATGAACTGTGATCGAAATTTGACCTCAGACTTACAAATACTAGTCTACTTTTTTTAGACACTGTAAACACTGTGTACTTTTGGATTTTTAGTGATACGTTCGACTAAAATTTATGGTAGTAGATAACTGTATATGAATTCTCCATATCGTAAAATCGCAAAATGGATTGCACAGGTCCTTAAGACCGTAAGAGACTAATTATCAACTTTTGTAAGAAGTTCGTTTGATCTAACCATTATGCTAGACACCTTGGACATTAGGGAAAAGCTTATGTGCTTAATTGACATAGAATCTTTATTTACCAACGTTCCACTTCATGAAACTGTCGATTTAATTTGCAATTATATCACAAACAATAGGATACATTTACCTATTCCTGTCACTCACATTATAGACATTATCTTAACATGTAGAGAAAATATTAGGTTCACCTTCCAAGAAAAGGCATATAAACAAATCGATGATGTTGCGATAGGGAGCCCTCTTGGGCCCCTGTTAGCAGATATATTCATTTCGGAATTAGAGAAACAAATGCAAGGTATTCTAGGAAAATTTATGCTATAAAAACGTTATGTGGATGATACACTCATTATTGGGGATTATAGTAAGTCTACTGAAAACTTTGTTACTCTATTTAATCATGTTCATCCAAATATCTGAGTGACCTCCGAGTCTGAATCGAATAACAAACTCGGTTTCTTGGATATTTCAATGACTACGAGAGACGATGGAGCGATAAAGCGATCTATATTTCGTAAGCAGACATGGAGAGGACAATATCTTCATTTCACCAGTTTTGTTCCTGTCCAGTTTGTTTTCAAAGGCCGGCAGAAAATTCATGAGTGACACATTGATGGATGAGCTTCGGCATATACATTCAGTTTTATTAGCCAGTGGTTATCCAGAAAACTTTATCAATTGTCACAGTAAGGATAGACCACATCTTGAAAAGACAGCTTCTTTACCAAAGTAGGCTATCTTTATTAACTTACAATTCAAGGGTGATCAAATTGACAACTCAAAGACTTCGGTCAGCCATCAAGCGCATGTTCTAAGCCGCATCTCTTTCCTTCACATCTAGAACATTTTCGATCCCTGTACTTACGATTCAACAACGAAATTTTGTGGAATCTACTTCAAACTGTATCTACAAGTTCACCTGCGGTTGCGGTGACACTTATGTAGATAGAACCAACAGAATGTTCCAGTGTTGTCGAGAAGAACATGGTACAAAATTGTTATTAAAATATTAAGAAAATCCCAATGCAATTAATCTGAATGGAAATGCAGCATCATCCATTGCAAAGCGCTTATTAGTGTCAGGTTACAAAATCAATAATGATGACTGCTTCACAATTATTTCACATAACTCTAATTCAAGGTTGGTTATTGAAGGTGATGGAAGCCCTTTGGATTAAGCAGATACCTCCTAAACTATGTGTACAAAAAACAATAGACTTCAACCTTCCTCTATCATGGACTACTTAACCTATTTAAAAATGATTGGTCATTAGTATGTACTTTTGTTTTATATAACTGAGTAGTTGTCATACATTTTATTTTATTTTATTACTGTGAACCATTTTAGTTGTAAAGCGATTGTAAAGAAATTAGGAAATGATATGATCTTGCGAAATTTGTTTTCTAAATACCTTGTTCAAAAATATATATGTTTATGACTGTTAATTCAAATGAGAACAGTTCAACATGTGCATGTCTGATTTACCAAATCACAGTGAACAAATGAATACATTTTGTAGACAACTCAGTTCCTCGAAGTTCGAAATTCCAATTTATTTGCTTGATACAGTGCGTTGAAATTCTTTATTTTTGACGCACTTTTTACACGTTTCGAAGCTGCACAGCACTAACACCACATTTTTTGTGTATAGTTTCAGTTTAAACTTCTTGACACTACTTGTTATTAAGTTAACTAACAGAGCTTAGAAAACATGAGGTATTTCTTTGCAACTAGTTTGGGGAATGGTAATGTGATTACTTCTTTACCTGATCTCAGTCGCTTACTGGATATTGGATGTTCACTTGTGAGGGGTCTCAAACTAAAACCAAGGTGTTGTCCGTTGCTCGGTGGGTTTAAAAGGTTCTATGAGTGACTTTAGTTTGTGACTGCTTCACCCTTAAAATGTTCACTTGCTATGATTCTTTACTTTGCTTGATCAATCAGTAATTGGTAACCATGTTTACATTTATCTTTTGCTAAATATTGACATGACATGGGATATACAGCTGAGGTCAGGTAAGCTTCTAAGATTATCAGTTTACACGGATAATCTCGAATATTCTGTCTTGCAGAAGTCACTGCCACTGGACGACTACAATCTAATCTCTGTATTTAGAGAGATGGTGTAATTAACGACACATTACCCCAGTAGGTGGGGTGTCTGTGTTGCATCACAATCTGTATTTGATTGCTGGCTTTCACTCACTGAGATGGACATATTATTAAACTTTCTAATCTGATTATTTATTTAACTAATAGTTTGCTTTTTCTTCCTGTGTCTGTTCCTTTCTATGTACGTTAACTCCTAGCTTCCCCTCATGACTGTCAAATTGTCCATGAAATTAAATGTCAGTAAACTCTAGTTATTTGAACATGTTAATACTGACCAACTTTTATCCATATTACCCGATGTACTGAGGATTATTAACTACCCTTGTAGTTGGATGCCATGAAATAAAGCGAGCTCTATTTATCCTGCCTTCATGTTCGTTATTGCTTTTTGAAATCTACTCAAGGGATACTAGTTAGTAAAAACAAAAATATAGTTTGTATAAGTTTTCATCCAATGAACTTAAGTTTGCGTGCAATTTGTACTGGTATATACTGTTTGTGGTACTGAATCTATGGTATATGAAAACCTTCTAAGTAATGACAAGAAGTACCTTACAACAAATAAGGCCTACTATGTTTCCGACTTCCCAAGTTACTTGTTACTATTAAAGAAGAGAAACTTTTATCTTTGTAAAATTAGTTACGATTTCACTGGTATTTATTTGGGTATCTACATTGCTAGATCTGCCAAAACGTCATAAGAATAGGTGGTAGGTTGGTGCTTACTGTGAAACTCTGTTTGTGTCAAACTGTCATATATGAAGGCTTACATATTGAAGGTGAATGATTCATTGACTATACTTGTACACTGATAGGTTGTTTAAACTGTCCACCTACACAAACTGTAGGCTTGGTGGGAAAATCGAATGAAACACAACAGCTCTTCAGGACGAGTACTAAATAAGTTATCGCTAAAACAAATCTACTTCCCTTTTGTATCCGCCTACCTGAATGAATAGAACGGAGGTGGTAAATTCCTTTTGAATTTCCACAAGTAGTTGGCCCTATGTGGTATTTATTACGTGCTTAGAGGAATACTACATGAGATGTTACGTTTAGCTGTTTTAAAGTGTCTTATTTACTTTTTTCTACACAGAATTTGTTATACTATACACAGAAACAGCTTGAGATTACTTTTATCCTCACACAGCTCTTCCAACCAATGGTTATAACATTTGGAGCTACAAGAGTTCAAAAACAGGACTTGTAAATATTGCACTGAATGCAATCAACCTTTTATTTCTTGTAATAATGCAGGGATCTTACCAAGATATCCTTGATCGACATCAAAGCGACTTGGAGAACCTGTAAAAAATTGGGCATCACGGTTGATATCCTGTAATTAAAAGAGTACAGTAAGCTTTTACAATATAAATGAAAATGGGATATTACTATAGTTACTTTTGAAAATGTTGCTTTTAAAAAAATAGAATAATTCAGACATAATTTCACAGAGATTAAAATAAGAAAGTGATAGTGATGTCCAGCCTAAACACAAACATATTCTAAATTATGTTGGAAGCAAAATTTGTCTTTTGCAATTCTTTCTTTTGTTGAATTTATACTACCAACTATTAGTAAGTAGTATGAATTATCACTTCTTAACTGCGACTTTGCTGTTGAAGCTTAATTCAATGTGTTTATACCCTATTTCACTGCATGTACCCTTCGCTGTTGAACAGTGTTTATTCGTATCCCTTTATTCTGTATCTGGAGTCCTTGAGCTGTTTAAATCTACACGTGGATCACCTTTGACACAGCTCTGCTGTTTTTGTTATTGACGCACAGTGACTACACTTTTGATGGCAATCTCACAATTTGGGATTTGTATATTATATTTCATGATGTTATGTTCAATATAGTACCGTATTTTAGAAAAATCCCGTGTTTTTTTATTTTACGCGTCACTCTGGTTTGAATACTGGTTTGGATTATCGTCCCGGATTTCGTGGAAAAAATTCACATAGTGAAATTTCAGAGCATCTAATGTCGACAGTAAATACAGACAAATTATAGCGACCAATGGCATAGTTTCAGGATGAATTTTAGTTAAGGAACAGGTGAATTGTGGTTTGATTGGTGATCAACTAGATAGAGTTCATAGGTACATCCAAATTGTCAATATATCCACGATTGTATGGATATATTCATTTCATCTTTGGCAATTATTCACATAAGTATAGTTCAAATTTCATGAATACTTGAGTTAATTCTCCCCTGTATAACACTATCGCCTAATATCCCAGTGTTTATAAGTTACTTTACATCTCGTTTATTTGGCATAAATTCAGAAGGATGTTAAATATAAATTTCATCTTTATTTCCTAGAGTGAGTAACGTCTTTTTGTTTACCTGCGGTTTACCGTTATTCAGAGGAAAATCGACATTGATGGTACTACCAGTGAAATGCTCATTAGTTGCCACATAGTTAAGCTAAAGAGAAATTTATACCTGGTTTTGTCATAGAACATTCAAAAGAGTAAATCTTACGAAAGATTATTATATCATAATTATTGTATCCTTTAATTCCTAGAGGAACAAAGGGCTTCAGCCGTGCGTCTCCATTGCGTTCGGTTCTCTGCTAGACTCTTCACCTGGCTTCATGTCTGCCCACACGTTTTCATCTCCTCTTCACATGACCTCCTCCAAGTCACCCTTGCACTGACGACCAACTCGCCGCTTCCCTTTCTGGTTCCACTCGAGCAATGGCTTGTCTAGTGATATCACTTGATGGTTTCCTCAGAGTATGGCCAGCCAATTCATCTCCATTTCTTTCTGCCTATTTGTTTCACAATCGGTTCCTGGTTGGTTCGCTCGCAAAGATCTCTGTTGCTGATCTTTTCTGGCCATCTGATCTTGAGTATTGAGCGAAGACAGCTGTTAATGAAGGTCTGTAGTTTGTTTGAGATGCTCTTTATGACGCGCTGGCCAAGTCTCTGATCCGTATAGTGAATGGCACTGACTTCACATTGGAGTTGAAAATCCGGATCTTATTTTTGATGCTGAGTGTTGTTGACCTCCACACAGACTTGAGAGTATTGAAAGCTTGTCTTGCTTTTCCGATCCTTGCTTTGATATCCTCGTCAGTTCCGTTCTCCTGTAGTTGAAACGATGCTTCCCAGGTAGGTAAAAGAGGTAGTTTCTTTCAGGTTCCTCGCATTTATGCTGATCGTTGTCTGCTGTTGTTGCTGTTGGTGATGTTGCTCAGGAATCTTCATCACCTCTGTTTTCTCTATGTTCACCTGAAGTCCTATCTTTGATGCTTCTTCTGCCAACTTGTTGCTTTTCACTTGCATATCTTCCAGTTTGTGGGAAATCTGACATATATCACAACTCTAAAAGTAGTGAATGGCTGGATAACCCTATTCCTCTACTCTTCATGACTGACAATACAAATAGATAACAGCGATAATGAAATTTATTGCTTAGGGTGAATGTGAAGTAAAATTTCGTTGGCGGGTTTTCCAGCCAATTTTTCCCAGCTTTCAAAGATTACTTTTATCTTCTAAATGTCTGAATGAATATTAGGGAATAGTTGTTAAGTGTGCTTGAGATAATTCCTCAAACTTTTTGAGTCACATTCATTTATTTCTTTTAACTAATTTATCCACTCCTCTTTCAAACTTCAAGAGCTGAGGTTTAGCTGTTCTAACATAACAGTCCTCAGGAAAAGGTTTAGACTAACCAAGTCAATAATGAACTAATGAAAACGTAAATACAAATTCCAAAATCTTTCTTTTTGATTATTTCACTCACACAGAGAATATTTTATTTGGAATTACAATGAAAGGGTGATAAACTTTCTTTTCATCAATTCTGACTGTGGATATCGTTTCTACTGAAAATAATAATAATAATCTTCTGGAATCATTTGTACCTATCCATGGTTTTTTCAAAGAGTTATGCTCAAAGTGTAAGGGCATTTGACTGTAAAAAAAAACTTCGGTACATCTAAGATACTTCGAAAAGCATATCCCTTTAGTTGAATGTCAGTCATACAAAGGGGATGGCCCAAGATTTGACTATTATCCTACGGCAGCTGTCCTAAGAAACTAAACAATATTCTTTTCTATCGAAGTTATTTCGAATTTCCTGTTAGTTGACTACATTGAAGAGAAATACTGAGTCCTCGCTGATGTGTTTAAAATAACCAATCATCTAGAAATTCAAAATAAATCCAGCAAATAACGACTGAGGTCCATGACACTCTCGTAGCTCCTCATTAAGAGAGTGGATAACACTTTGGCGTTTTAAGCGGCAAGTGCTACATTCAACTCTCATTGGAAACAATATCATTCAATGGGAAGCATGTATATTCAGCTAAGGAGTCTCAAATTAGGAGGGAAATCTGGTCCTTGTACCCACCATAAGCCAATAATTGCCGCTTTCTTTTACACCTTTCATAGTCTTTCTACTATAGAACTTTATAAAACCTAATTGTAGAATAATGCAACTGGCTATTTGGAGTTGATTACAATTACATCAAAGTAAAGTTATTACTTAAGTGCACTGAATTTTATATTGATACAGGGTGGGATTATCTTTAAAAGAATATTACTAAGGAATATAACTTCTCCATCAATTCTATGTATGATCAAAAAGATACTTGAATCTAATCAATTCAGTATAAGTCTTTGTTAGTGAATTAAACTAACATTTTTGTCTACAAGTTCTTTTCTTTGATGATTATTTATTTTCTTTGTGTTCATCTATAACCATAACTGTATTTTTTATTAGCTTAGAAAGATAATAGCGAAATAAAAACATATATGGAGTTATTGAAGAAATAGTAGAATTATCGATTCATTTCATCATATTACAAAAGAAAAGATGAGTATTTACCTTTGGTCTTTTCCATTCTAACTTGCCTTTGAGGTCAGGTATATTTCCAATGGAAATATCACTTGCAGGGAAATCTGGATCTTCGAAAAGTTGTTTCGTCTCGCGTACTGTACGTACAACTATTTCATATTCAATACTTTTAAAATTTCTCATTCTTGTTGGCTAAAAGAATTTCGAGAAAAATTCAAAAAACGAACTGATGTTATTAGTCATTATGTAAACACAACTTTTAAAAATGTTTGTGTGTAAGTTTAATTCCAAAAATGAAAGTGTCAGTGGTGGTGAACATTGAATAGTTTGTTTATTCGAAATGGTTTCCATTTGGCGGGGAACAAAAAGGCTGTCATTGCTCAGTTGTTAGCAGAAGATTGGAGAAATACCATCAGAAGTATTCTTGTATATTATTTTAATGTTTATTTACAGACTTTAGTACTGATTAATCACTGTAAATCTGTTTCGTTATCGGTTGAAGAATAAATAATCGTGTTGCCCAACCGTTTTGAGTTGTCCCTCGTCAGTTACAGTGCATAATGTTCTACGTATTAGGCTTAGTCTTCTGAAACCAGTGATAGGTTCAAGATCTCTTCAATCTGGATATTTGACAGAAAGTGTGACAGATAATCAGCAAAGTTGATATGATTAGTTCTGATAAAAAAGAAGGCATGCTTCCGATGATAGCCGAAGAAGTGATATTTTTGTTGAACTTCTTGTTTTTACTGTCGTCTAATATTATGGTGGTTATTTCCCACCCTTTAAATATCCGATGTCCAGTGTCCGACACTGCACAAGTGATTATGTCACATCCTATGTCTTTGGACACATTCTTAGAGAGAAGTAACCACACATCGCACGTGAGCGTGGGGTTAAGTATAACTAAATGACTCGAAGAACAACTGACCCCCACAGCCTCAATAAATGTAAGTGTCAGACTACCAGCCCCATTAACAATATGACTAAAAGGATTGATGTCAACACACTGGGTCACATTAGCAGTTTGTAAATTAAGTTCATAATTTACAGGTTTCACAGATCAAAGTCTAATTTCACCACAGTTTTATTTTAAAATTGAAGTTATTCAGATTACAGCATGTCACCTAAGTGATACGATAAATGACATTTGAGGAAGCAAACATAAAATATGTAATACTGATTGATAAATTGATCGGTATACTCGGATCAGAAAGAGGGAGATGAATCAGTTCAACCCCACCCACCCCGAATTCTGAATCACATCGATCTGGCTAGCTGACACTACTAGTTAGTGTGATTTGTATCCAACTACTCATTTAGTCAATCAGTAGCATATGCCATTGTGTCAAAACAGCTTTCAAGATTATATGTAAAACTGACAGGGTAGTATACTAGAATATGCTAAGTTCATAGCCATTCGTAAAATTAATCCCTCACAGCTTCTGTAGCGTGTACAAAAGAATTTATTGTTACCCTTAATCTACCTTCTTAACCCTTTTTGATGTATTAATTGTACTGACAAGTGAATTTGTGACCAGACACTTTGAAATGTATTGCCCACATACATCACATTTCTTCAGAGAAAATCTGTCTTTTAATAACGGTATCCAAATACACTAAGCAATTAACTAATTCAAATCTTTATTAGTGTTCCTTTACCTCTTCTTATTTTCCCTATTGTGTCTTATTCATTATTTAGATTCTCACCAGCCTAGTTGTTTAAAGAACCAGGTATTTATTACTACCAGTAATATTATTAGTGTTGTTATTGTTATATTTTGATTTGACACTAGTAACTAGTGTGATACGTCTAGTCCTCTCTTTGGTGCAGACTGAATTCTATCAGTCAGGTTGTAATGTGGCCACCATTCTAGGTAGCTCGCCATCACGGTGTACATTGCTTGTGATGATATTAGATGGTTGGAGGCAATCGGCAGGAAGCTTTGGACCTAGGTTTCGTGCTAGTTGGCACTCTTCAGCAAGGTGTATCTTTTATTGTTATTTACTTTATCTTTATTTTTCAGCCGTTATCTGATTGATTTCGATGTAGGTTTCTTTACAAGCTAACGTTCTACATGACATCTGACGCCTTACTTACCTTATCCTGATGAAGCCAATTTTGTTAAGTTTTCAGAGGATCTAACTGCTTTCATACCGGTTGTTTCTCAAATAAATTATTCACAGAGGAATAGCTTTTTGTCAGAAGTTAGTCAGTGGTCTTTGTCAAGTGGTCTCGAGCTAAATCCCTCCAAATGCTAGGTTGTTAATTTCACTTTGAAACACAGGCATGACCTGCATGAACTAGTTCACTCCCATGATTATTTTACTATAAATGTCATTGAAATTAAAACCAAGCCGAATATTAAATACTCCAGATTATGCATTTCCCCTGATCTTTCATGGTCTTCAAATGTCATATCAGCTGCTAGAAAGATTTTTCGTTTAATTTCCTATGTAAGGAAGTTAGAATATTATGGCATCAGTCACTTTCTACTTTTACAGTTAGTTAATTCTTGTATTCTACCTGCCTAAATCTTTACTGGGTTACTTCAGAAGGACATTGTTACATTGCAAAGGTCATTAAAAGTTGTCATCAGGGCGAGTGGGTTACCGTTAATACTGCTGTAGACAGATACTTGAACTCATGCAAGAAATTAGGAAATAGTATCTTGTCGTATCTGTGCATCTTCTCTATATACAACTTTATTTTGATTGCGGCTTGATTCCACACCGTACTTTTTGGTACAGGTATGGAATTTTCAGCATGTGATATCGGTAGCCCAAATTTTGCAGGCCGACCATAGATATCAGATGTGCGTCGGCAGGGGATCGAACCTTAAACCATATGTATGGTTGGCGAGAGTCCCAACCACTGTGCCACCGACGCAGTATTGTTTACATCTCATCAGATAACACTGGAAGCTATTACAAAACACTTTATTCTCGGACAACCAAGTAGAAACAACTCTAAAATACCTTAGTTAGCACGTATTTTATGCGATGAGAAAAGTGTAAGGTTTAATGCAAAGCACTAAATTAACATCCTTTTTAGTCTTTCTTTCATGAATATAATTTTGTCACTATGTCTACCTAATTTCAGTTTGGCATACGTATTCTTACTGAAATTGTTATCAACGTAAATGCCCTGTTAATTACTTCTCCTCATAATATGTAATGTAAAAAGAAAATCAGATGCAATATTGTGCTGTACTACATGCTGAAAATTCCACTTTATATCAAAAGTACTGTTTGGAATAGAGCCCTTTTTATCTTAAAAAAACCACTAAGGTCGAAAAATTCCTGTTTGAGGATGTATTCCACAACAGTGGGTGTATGACGAATTCAGGAAAATTAGACTCCGAACTTTTGAACGAATAGTCATGCGCTTAATTCGTAAACTCGAAGTATTTGGCTAGACCCAGATAGTGGCTGTAGGTCCATACTGTCAAAGAGTTCTAAACTGAAAAGGACCAACTGTTCATGGCTCCTTTTATGCTGCAGTTTCTTAGATATTGTGGTTTCTTGGAAAAATTTACAATGGCAACATTTGGATTCTTATGTACTGTTGCATTATCACCTAGATTCTTGACGGTGGCCTGCTGAAACCTTGAACTACCGAAATTCTACATTACTTATAAAGAAATAATAATAATTTCTTTAGTCTTTATTCAAACTCATTAATATTCAATCCTTTCAGTTCCCACAACTGATTTCCTCACTACTATTGCTATTATTATGCTTTGTTTGCCGATCCCTAACCTATTTTGATTACTAGTTAATTGGTGGATGGTGACTAGCATTGAAATCCAGGATGCACATTTCGTCCCATTCGTGGCTCGTCATCTGGATGTACCTGCACTCCGTAGTAAGTGATGATGTCCTTAGTTACTATGTTTCTTTATTCCTTTAAGTTCCCGGTGGAACATAGGGCTTCAAGCTAGAGGCTTAAAGTTTAGGTAGGAGGTAGTGTTTATTTTTACTGGATGGGGTTGCTATCCTCATGCCCATCCTTTCATCTTTACCAGCCTTATTACTGGCTTAGCGAGGTGTGGGAGTTCGTCAGCCGGGGATCGAACCCCGAACCACATGTGGCGTGGTTGGCGAGCATTCTACAGCTATGCCACTGATGCACTTACTATGTTAGCTACTAAATTTTCTGTTGAAAATTCATTGTTCTGTTTTCAGTTCCCACTATCTGTCTCTGGACGCTACTCACAATTATATTATACTTGTTTAAATTCCTCTCACTGTGTTGCCACACTTCATGTACATATCTGTATATTAATAACAATACTAACAATTTCATTCTAAACAATACTTTTACAAAAAGCACGTAATTCCCAGGGTACTTTATCAAAAAATCTTAACCCCTGGTATAAAATATTAGAGAACAGAGAAATACAGTTGGTAATATCGCCTGAAGAAATTCTGTTCGCTCTAGCACGTACAGTGACTTTCCACTATACTTAAAACTACCAGTATCCCCTGGTATCTAATGCATCTCTAACTGATATCAATCCCTGATCAACCTTTAGACCTGAGAAATCCCCGCAAACTAAGGCTTGAAAACCCTTTAAAAATAAACAATTATAGACAACCACTCAAGATGGTAATTAAATCATTAAAATATACCGAATAGAATACTAGTTGACCCAGTTGGTAAGACAAGTCACTGATTTGTAAATGTATGTGCGTTTGCGTGTGTGTGTGTGTAATCTTTCATTATACAATGGCATACAAGATCTCATGTGTTGAATAAGAGGCTGTTGAGTTGTACTGAGTTTTATGAATTCATTAAGTCTTACACAAAGGAAAGCTTTCTACTTACTATATTTAAAAACAAAAGTTCTCATTTCTTAGGTAATAGTTTTATAACAAATTTTAACAATCAAATGCGATAGCATGTTACGCATAATAAAAGCAACTTACATTTGGATATAAAATTTTATTCTCTGATGAATGCCCACTGCTATTCTTGCACATATGATCCGATTTCTTATGATTGAATAACTCTTTAAAGACTTGAACTGAAGTAGAACCATTCTCTTGTATAGGTTTCTGTATATTTGGAGATGTAAGTTTTGCTTCTAGCTGGAATAGCAAAAAAAGTAGTCATAAGAAGATTCAACAATAACAAGCATTTATGTGTAACGGAGTGTAATCATAAAAATGATAAAAGGAACTATGAGAGTTGGTATTACTATCATTCATTTGTGTTTCAAAACAAACAAACAACTATCTGATGGATAATTAAAATTATTCCATAATAGAGTAAAGTTTGCTCTCAGTGTCTGAATGGTCTACGAGCCTGCTTTTCAACTGTAAGGTCCTTGGTCCGAACCCCAGTGGGTGCGTACTGCTGGGGGATTCTAAACTAGGACAAGTCGACCGTCCAGTTTTACAGTGGTTCTGTAATTTATGTCAGCTCATCATCAAACGTGTCAGTTCATTTCAAATGAAACATGAGAAAAGAGTAACACTTATATTCTTTTGAACAAAATGTTTGGTAAAATTGCTGAATTTATTATTTCGTTGTAAAGTATTATATCACTTCCAAATATCGGATGGCATTTTCGAAAAGTTTCCCAGATTTTAACACTGATTACTTACAAGGGCGTGCCAAGCACCAACAAGGCTAGTCCTACTTACTAACTGATGTTGCAAGCAAAACTTACTGAAGAGTACTAATAGGTGCGAAAAACAGATTCACATCTGTCTTCTGACTACCTCTAAAAGTCTAGCACTTATTGTAGCACGCTTTCAAGATTAGCACATGAGGTGTAAGATGATATTTTTTGACCACCGACTAACTAAAATTAACATAATCGTCAACTTCAGGACTGCCAATCAGAAGCTGATGCCTTCGGAAAGCAAGTATTGCATTATTATTATTATTGTATCCTTTAATTCCTAGAGGAAGGCTTCACCAGTGCGTCTCCATTGCGTTCGGTTCTCTGCTAGAGTCTTCACCCGGCTCCAAGTCTGCCCACACGTTTTCATCTCCTCTTCACATGACCTCCTCCAAGTCACCCTTGCACTGACGACCAACTCGCCGCTTCCCTTTCTGCCAGGTTCCACTCGAGCGATGGCTTGTCTAGTGATGTCACTTGATGGTTTCCTCAGAGTATGGCCAATCCATCTCTATTTCTTCCTGCCTATTTGTTTCACGATCGGTTCCTGCTCGGTTCGTCCGCTCATTGCCAGAGATCTCTGTTGCTGATCTTTTCTGGCAGGCTATCTGATCTTGAGTATTGAGCGAAGACGACTGTTAATGAAAGTCTGTAGTTTGTTTCATGTGCTCTTTATGATGCGCCAAGTCTCTGATCTGTGTATAGTAGCACTGACTTCACATTGGAGTTGAGAATCCGGATCTTATTTTTAATGCTGAGTGCTGCTGACCTCCACACAGACTTGAGAGTAGTGAAAGCTTGTCTTGCTTTCCCGATCCTCGTTTTCATAACCTCATCAGTCCTGTGTGCCTGTAGTTGAAACGATGCTTCCCAGGTAGGTAAAGGAGGTTGTTTCTTTCAGGTTCCTCCAATTTATGCTGATTGTTGTCTGTTGTTGTTGTCGCTGTTGGTGGTGTTGCCCAGGAATCTTCATCACCTCTGTTTTCTCTATGTTCACCTGAAGTCCTATCTTCTCTGGATGCTTCTTCGGCCAACTTGTTGCTTTTCGCTTGCATATCTTCCAGTTTGTGGAAATCAGACATATATCATCGGCGAAGTCCAGATCCTTCAAGTTTTTCGTTAGGGTTCATTTTATGCCTGTTTCCTCATCGCCCGCTGTTTGTCGCATTATCCAGTCTACTGCAATCAGGAAGATCATTGGCGATAGTAGGCAGCCAGTTTGTCTTACTCCTGTCCTCACTTCGAAAGATTCCGTAAGTTTCCGTTGTGGATTACTTGGCATGCAGCATTGTCGTACAACTGTTGGATGAGATGTATAATTGTCAGTGGCACCCCGTAGTAGCGAAGTAGTATTGCATTACATGTAATAATTGAATGTTACATACTTTATACATCCTTATATCTTATGAGTTGGCTTATAACTATTTACATACATCAGTACTATAGTTATTATTGCTATTTCGGTAGCTTGCCTAAATCACTGGGCTACCTAAATTTCCACCCAACATAATGCAGAAACCCTTCTCCGTTTCATTATTGTTTAAATCATCCATTTATGTGCTTCGAATGCCGCATGACCTCGAGCATATTTTGAATTAGCTTTCAACGTAATGCTTTACATTTCTTGACTGATATCAAAGAAATATATTGTATAGGATTGGATCTTGCTGCAAATGAAGTGACAAAGCGTCACGTGATATACTTCCGGTTACTATTTCACTTGAGGGTCCTGTACCAAGAGGGGGTATTTCTCAGTTAAATACTCTGAGTACTGTGTTTTGAAATGTTAGGCGGGATATGGCTACTGTTCGTATTATTTACGTTGAAATATATCCTGAAGTTTGCTACTAATCGAGCTAAAGGGAGTTGGGAAAGTAAAATTCAACAGTTTATTCATTATTCCTTCGTTTCTCTGAATTTGAAAAAGTTAGGACGGGGAAGTTTACACGAAATTATATACACTTTACTTATTTACTGACCGTTTATAACAAAAAGTACCTGTCATACGTGTTACAAAAGACTACCTAAATGAATTCATCACCCCGTAATGTAGACACTGGTCAGAACTGAAAATAAAGTAGCCTAAACACGTGACAGTATTTATGTAGGTAGGTATGTGGCAAACTAAAAACAAAACATTTCTGAAAAGTTAAACGGAAGCGTAAACTATAATATTCTAGACTTTCCACCATGTGACGTCAATAGATACGTCAGTATGACAAAAACGTTAACAGACTTCCACTAGTTCAAACAAGAAGTGTTGAAAAATCATATGAAGACTTATGAATAGATGGCGAAATAAACCGGAAGCGAAAATGAAAGCAACGCGAAAACACACATACACAAATCAGATTTGAAATTGTAAAACTACATAACTGAAGTTGTAGGCGTGAATGCTATCGAGGTGTTGAAGGTTATGAACAGCAGCATTCATTAGAAGACAAAGGTCACTTGGGAATCGCTGAATTACACTGGTTTTTAAGGAACACTGGGATGTATAGTTTGCCATTTTACTTTACTTTACTGACCATTGGGAAATTTTAACAAGTTGATGGATTATTGTGAATCTTTTTTTGAACAGAAAGAGTTTGTTACCAATCTATGAACAGCTTTGTCCTATAAATGTTCTCAAGTAGTTGCACCTCTAAATCTCATCTATTTATAAAAATGAGACTGGTTTGATGGTTTAAAAAATGTCAAGACGTGTGCTCTTTCCGTTGTTTTAGAGGTAGTTAACTGACTGTTAGGGACTACTTTTAAGCTTGACGATTGTGCTTACCTACTGTTTCGCAATTAATCAATTTTATTAGTTTTACTGACCATTTAAATTGTGTATACATAAAGGGGTGCACTGGATGTATTTCGTAATTGTCTAAATAAAGTAAATTTTTCAAAATTTTAGATCTGTTTCAGTAACGTGTTTGTTCATATAATTCATAGTATTGGTAAGTGTGTAATTGTGTCGGTGGCACAGTGGTTAGGACTCTCGCCGACCATGCACATGGTTCGGGTTCGATCCCCTGCCGACGCACACCTGATATCTATGGTCGGCCAGCAAAATTTGGGCTACCGATATCACATGCTGAAAATTCCATACTTGTACCGAAAATACGGTGTGGAATCAAGCTGCAATAAAAAATAAAATAAAAATAAAAAAGTTTTTAGAGTTATAAGTAAAAACTAAATTACCCTCCTATTAGGTGAGGTGGGTAAGTCAACCGCTGCGGTTGTGAAACCAAATTGATTAAGATAGATGGAACATGTGCCGTACATATTGAACCATCTACTTCTTCAGCAGGAAATGTTAGCTGACATAAGAATAGGTTGGGAAGGAAAAAAAGGGGGTCAAATTAAAACTTAGCATCCATCCAGGAAGTCTTTGGCAGTTGATTTCAGCCAGTCCCTTGGGGAGGTGTATACTGCCTGGTTTGGTCCTTGGGATGCTAAGAATCAATGACTGAAGACTATTAGTAATGTGGCTATAAGTCGTTCTGAATGGAACAGGTGCATTCACTCTTTGTAACCACCCAGATCCACTAAACCGTCACGTTTTCTGTATCACTGTTCTTCCTCACTTACATTTCTGCTAGTTGTGGTTTTTGTGAATTTCTTTTCTCCTCTTTTTTGTATAAATTTGTGTACTACACGGAGTGTGGCAGCTTTACGTATTGCACTTCTGTGCAAAGTCCTATCTTGAAACTCAGTCAGTAAGTCAGTCAGTCACACAAGAATAAAAATGAGAAACTCTAAATGAAGATTTTTCTCTTCAAATGAATTCTGTGTTCAACTCTTATTGTATCATTGACTTTAATATCCATAACTTCAACTACATTTTTTCTCAATTTCATGTCCACTTTGCGTGTTGCATTCATTTTCCCTCTCGGTTTACTTCGAAAATCATTTGTTTGTAAATCCCTTGACTTTCTAGTGTGCATGTATATTACTCACTGGCGTACGTTGTAACAGCTTTCCATCCGTTCTTAGTTTTCATTTCATATTGTAAATGATTTGGTTGTTTTTTGCTCCTGTGAACGAAATGTAGTCAGATTTATTAAGCAAAATGGATATTGAGTTATCTGGCTCGTACATGTTTGTTGATGATTCGATGAACAAAGAATCGGTGGTTAACCGCTTTTTCCTCCCTAGTTATTATTATTATTGTTTCCTTTAATTCCTACAGGAACATAGGGCTTCAGTCGTGCGTCTCTATTGCGTTCGGTTCTCTGCTAGAGTTTTCACCTGGCTCCAAGTCTGCCCACACGCTTTCATCTCCTCTTCACATGATCTCCTCAAAGTCACCCTTGGACGACCAAGGGTTATACTACTTAAAAAAATAAATTTTTATACTATTCCACCCTATTGCGGGATTAACAGCAAGTGAACGCAGCACACTGACTTCAATATATATTAGTTCAGGGTTAGTTAGATGATTGCAACACACCAATTTAGCCAGAGCTAGAATGACTAACCAAACTAAATTAAGTAATATTGAAATAGACTAAGTTATTGCAATATATTCACCTTCATTTATTCAAATGATAGGCCGAAGTAGGGTAAAAGTAATAAAACTGTGTGGAGCAAAATTTTAATCACTGAATCTCTGTTCGTCAAATCAACACCTAACATTTGCTAGTGAAATAACGCAACACCTATCTATGATATATGAAAAATTGCAATGAAAGACGGGACGGGGTCATATTTTCCTGAGCCTAAACGCTACTGATTCATTGAGATGAGTGGATGTATACCACTCATGTCAACTGGTAATTTGTAAATTATGAATTCTACTTATAGTATCACCAGTTCGCTGAAGTAGCTAGCTAGAAATCTAGTGGTTTCAACTGACTCAGCTCTCTGAGATAAGTGAAACAGCGTACAGCGCTGATGAACTCGGTCCCAGACGAACGAAGTGACCATCTGGTGTTTAGATTACTTCGTCAGTATGGCCAGCAAGCACTACTTGTTGATGCAAGTGAGTGGTATATGACTACTTATCTGAATCAATCAGTAGTATATTTTTTAAGCAATTAACTTGCTTTCCTGATTACCTGCAAGTTATCAAGTCATACGAATACATTGATATAATTAGGAGCAATGAATTGTACTATAGACATCAGTCAGTTATTAACACTGTACCATTGTCTACTGTATCAAATAAACTTATTTCACATGGAACTGCATTCTACAATGGTGCTCAAATTCTACGTGTACGGTTACCTTAATGCATGCGTTTCTGAAGGTTGAGTATATACAGTGAGTGAAATACTACTACTATTTGCATACCTAAGGCTTTTTTTCATTCATTCACATACCGAATATTCATGTGAACTGATTCATAGAAAAGTAATCATTTTTAGCATTAAGAAATTAGAAAAAAAACCTAATTACCTCTATAATGCAAGCAGATATTTTCAAGATTTAAAGTATATTGATAACATAAGATCAGAGGCTTTGTCTTGGTGCCTAAACCCACTTAAATTCTCAAAAAAAGGTTTATACCATAGTGCGTCATTGTCATATTGACTGAATAATATTTACAAAACTCTATGTAAGATTTTATTAGCATATATGCAAACAATTTCGTCTTGGTTTCTATCGTCTGAAAACTTGTACAAGTTTGTAGATATATGCGGTACATGTTTTCCTTTTCGAGCCTCTTCACTTGCTTTTACCTGTATCTCCAATGAATGAAGGTGTTCCTACTGTGAACTATACCAGTCGCTAGTGAGCATTAGACTGATTTTAAAGTTAAGTGTTTAATCCCCCTCCTCCAAGAAGTCATAAATGAGCGCTGATGAAGAGTCCCAAACTGGAACGAAACATTTATCCAGTACTCCTTGGTTTTTAATAGTTATCTTTCTGATGTCAGATGGTTGTCAAATTCAAAGTCAGTCGAATCCCTAAAAAATTAACACTTAAAAACTAATCTGATGCTCACTATTAACTCAATGTAGGACGACCTTACCTGAAATATTAGTTAGAATTCGTGGCCACTGTGGTTCACGAGAGTATATGGGGCGATTATTCACTTCAGACACTACCGGTGGCACTGTATGTCGCTAACTGATAGAATCAGTATTCATGGGCCATTCGATTTCACCTCAGTGGCTGAACGGTAGCCAAACTTATCTCGTTAGCTGAAAGTTATCGGTTATATCCCTGGCGGGGTCATGGGTAACGTACTAATGAAAAGTCCAACACAGAGGAGAAACAGCTGTCAAGTACTCCCTGGTTTTTGATGGCTCTCTGACTAATATCGACCGGTATTAGAACTTGGAAACACCAGTCGACTGAAGCTAACACATGACTTGAAGGAATATGACCTAGTGTCACCAAATAAATCATAGAATCAATTGTACACAGTGCATCTGAAATTTCATTGAAATTAATGGATGACATATTATAAACAGCTCTCACTCAGCCTATCACACAATGTTTATTTAAATATATACAAACAGATTCAAATATTAATGAAGAGTCAATAAAATTTATTTACCTTTGCATAGCCTCTAGGAGTAAGTGTTGATGGTATACCAAGATTAAATTGCACTCGCTTCTCATTTACTACTGGATGTAGAACTTTCACTGTAGGTAATAACAAACAGAAAGAAGGACATACATATCTAAATATATATATATTCTGTTGATGGTCAATAAAATAAATAACTTGCACCAATGCCTTTTGTTCAAAAGTTTTGACTTATGTAGTCGTTAATGAATGAACGGTTAGTAACATCAAATACAGAGTTCTTCAGAGTTAATCAGTACTGTGGTGTAATATAGATGATCGATTGAGAAATATGAAGCTACATCACTATAACTTAAAAAGGTACATTTTTTTTACATTTTAGTTCTGCTTAAGTATTAGATTAATCGGTTTAGAATTTTAGTGGTGACAAAAAGAACAGGTTAAAAAGACGAGAGAAGTTTAGATAAAGTAAGAAAGACCAAATGATTTAAATTGAACAATCAACTTCACCAAAAAACTGTAGGCATTACGATAGGTTCATATCTGGAACCAATTCTGGTTGAAATCTTCATGGGTCATCTTGAAAAGACGCGGCTGAGTTCTGCCATCGCCAATATATTGATAACACGTTTGTTGTTTGCAATGATAGGAATCCCGCATATTTATTATTTGACCGTCTCAATAAGATCCACCCTTAAATTACATTCGCCATGGAATATGAACATAACGATTAGTTCATTTTCCTGGATCTTAATGGAAGATGAAGAAACGATGGTACGATCGAAAGGTCCATCTATAGGGAATAAGCCTGGACATGGCAATATCTTCACTATAACATCTTCTATCCTACAACCTATAAGTGTGGATTAGGGAGGAAACTGTACCGCAGAGCCAGGAAGTTATGTACACTTAACAATCTGGAAGAAGAATTAGTCTCTGTTGAGAAATGCCTAAGGGAAAATTGGTATCCAAAGGGATTGGTCCTAAGGTGTAGCAAAGGAAACAGGTTCAAGTTTGGTCTTTCTTCCTTTATCAACGTTCATCAATGGAGCGAAGTGTACACTACAAGGAATTCCCTGAAAATCATATTTTACCACTTACAGATATTGCATATTGAATAACTGTAACTTACGAAGCAGTGGACAGCTTTTTCGTCTTGAACTTAGTAATCTTTAACAGTACTGATCTCAAGATTGAAGATGCAACCAGAGCCTGGACTATCTAGGTTACTTTACTAGGGCATTATAATTCAGCAACTGGGCTGAAGTCTAACGGTCTATCAATCCTTACCTTAGCCAACTTTCCATACACTACTAGCAATAGTCAGTGTCGTAGGTGAGTAGCTGTTCTTCTTAGTGTACCTCACAAATCACAGCATCTCAGTAGACCTTCAAGAAATCCACTCAAAAGTCAGTCATCAATGTGAAGTAGATCAATTGAACCCAATCTAACAGGGTGCAAAATAGACTTCAAATGGAATCTTTGTATATTGAATTGATATACAATGTATAGATTGGAAAAGACTAAATAAATTTCCCTGGTATTTACAAGATTCTACTCCATGATAAATGAAGAATAAGAACTAAGAATACTAAAAACTAGGTCTAAAATGTGTACAGCGAAATCTGATATATGATCATGAACAGCCAGTCAACGGTGTGCTGATCGTTATCCACTGAATTATTATACTGTTTTATTATGCAAGATATACCTAATAAATGAAATAGTATGAAATCAATTTCACCTATCCTTAAATAATTTTCTGACTTTACTAAATGAAGTATATGAAGATGAATATCTGCCAGTATTAATTGCTAGATGGTAGACAGGATAACTATTCACTTCTATGTACTGATTAAAATTCACTGATCAGGTGTAGAATTGAAGTCACAAAAGTGAATGGCACGATAATACAGGTACCCCTTTCTTCAGAATAAAACAGCAATAACTCCCCGTAAATCATCATTCGAAAATCAATCTGTTACTTACAAGTGACTCACTACAGGATCAAGGGCCTAGAATTTAGGTGACTAGTCGCGACTAATGGAGTCTACCAGGTAAGGCGTGAGGAAAATTACTCACCTATGACACCAGCTGTGTCGTTATATCTGGAGCATTGGCCATTGGTTAGTGGGACTGCCTCACAACCTGAAGACCCTGTGTACGATGCCTGTTGGGGTCATGGATGCAAAGAGTTTCAAACAAAGTACGAAACGGCTGTCCAGTATCCTGCGGTTTTCAGTGGTGTCTCAACTTCTGTTAGTTTGTGACGAAAATGAAAATCAATTAAGTCCGTGCAGCCTGTTGGAAATGCCTCCTCTCGATCTTGGTGATCAGATGACCAGTGGGGAAGATTAAGCAACAAGGAATTCTGATGACAAACCAGCTAAGAACCTATTGCTAAACAAATATGCAGAAGTAAATGGCAGTGGACTGGAAATGTGCTGGGAAGATCTTTAAGTGATATCCTACACCACGTCCCCGAGTATAACCCGAACAGGAGACAGTAATGTGTTTAACTTCGAAGGTGACATGGAGGAGATGGCATAAAGAGAAAATGAAAGTTTGTGGGCAATCGTGAAGCCAGTTAAAAAGGATTACAGCGATCAAAGTGAAATAGAGATGAGTTCTACTTGGAACCGAAGGGCAGTATAATATAATCAATAATAAATCAACACTTGAAAATATCGGCAATAATCTGTTTATGGATCGTGTCGATGTCTTGATCTGACAATAACTGACTTAATCTCAAAATTTCAATGGATACATTAGTCTTCTGAAGGTTGTCATACTCAGAGGATTTCCTATGGATAGTAGATATGCCTACGAAACAGTAGTAATAGTAATCGATTAAACGCTTGCATAACTGATACTATAACTAAAGTATACGGGAATATAACGCAAATGTCTTGCTGTGATTATCGATTAGCAAAGTTTATTTCATTTCTCTTTCTAGTTGAATGATCCTATTTAATGCTGCAGATATTTCCTATCTATATATTTTTTTAAAAGAAATATTGATTGCAGGTCAACATTTTGCAAAAGGAATAAAGGATTTCCACGTAGATACTTTTCTTGGAAGAGAATGTAAACTACTATTAAAGGTAACCCCAATAAACTAATTTCACTAGATAAGTGTGTAAATAATTTTTGAAACTACTTACAGTAATTCTGTGGAATGCCAGTACTTTCTTCATCGGATTCACTACTATTCTTTTTACGTCTATTATGTGATTTGGAACGACCAACCTAAAAATGAAATAGAAAAGTAGAAAATGAAAGAAAACAGTATATTGACTGATGGTTTCACAACATTTTAAGCTCAGACAGTATGATGTCTCATGTTTCCAGCTGTGTAGTGTAACGTATTCATATTCGGCTCACTATAGAACAATTCTAGTTATGACTGAAATCAAACTAATAAAATATTGATGTGTCGGCATAACAGAATGCAAGGCTTTGGTGATTTAGCTGGTCTGTGATCACACCAATATGAGACTGAGATGTTTCAAACCACATTTTTAAGAATAAGGATTCTTAGGCATTTGCCGGTGGAACAGATTATAGTTCAGGTAGGCACAAAAGACAATTTTTGTCAAAACGACTCCCACCGAAAGTACAGGGTATATCTATCTATCTATCTATCTATCATTCTTATTCATTTGATGCACATAGATTCAGTGATAAACAGCTATTTCTGCTTATCTTATACAATTGCAACTCTGTTTTATTCGACTGTGCGGTTGTGTGTTGCTGAATGGCTGCTCATGCAATTTGTCTGCATTTACCGCTACATTGAGATGTATTCATCACCTTCTGATAACTACACTCATTTCCATTGAATCGGTGTGCCCTTTGGATTGCTGAAAGTTATTTGATATGCTTAGAACGAGATTTATTTCAGTTTCAGTTATACTGTTTTAGGATGTCTATGCGTTAATAAAAACAGTGCACCGTGACAAAAAGCAAATACCTATAAATACTACATTAGTAGTTTTTGTTTAGTAGAGTCTGACATAAGTTTCAGGATCCAAACATATCCAGTTTAAGAAGAACTAATATGTCTCCTAAGTTTCAATTCCACCTAATAATTAGTAGTCTCAACGTGTAAAGATATTTCTGCACAAATAGTATGAATCCTGAAGTAACACTAATAATAATAATAGTAATTAGGATGACCTGCAATATTACTGGATGAAACGACAAGTTTATCGTACGTATATTACACCACTTACTTTGATCAACATTTCTTCATCAACCTTAAGGGTGAGAGGGCAATAAAGACCGTTAATTTAGTACACATTTAAATAAAAAATTCTTTCGTGAAAAGAATTGTAGCCCTAGAGAATTCCATGACATCAGAACAACAGTATTATAACTATAACTTGAGAAGAGATTATACTAAGTTGAAATTGATCGCAAGTCTCATCAAGTGTTTAAAATTAGTAGAAGATTGTATATCAAAATCAAGGTGCCGATAAATTCATTCTTCACTGTATATAGGTAGTTCAGATACTAGAATGTTGTACTTTGATATGTGATTTATGGTAACTAAACGGTTTTCAATACACCAGTATTGTTTCACATCTCTAATATGAAACAGTTCGCAATCTTTTTCTTTCTACAGACCATTCTTAATGATATGCCTACTTTTTTTCTAAAGCCTTCATTCCTATTATATTTGCTTTACTTTCGGGAGTATACTTTATCTCTTTCTAATGGATATGCTCTAAATATATGCTGAGCACAATGTTTATGACATTATATTATGTATATATATATAACTGGGAGATAGCTGATAGTACAAAGCATATCGTTAGGTTATCCAGGTATATTAGAGTCAATGTCCATATTCGTTATTCGAACGATATTACAACCTACCGTCTATTAATGTTCACTAGCTAATGTTATATGTGAGAATTAGTTGCAACAGTAGCCTTGACAACTGCGATATTAAATGCTAACAATGAAATTATATAATAACACATTACAGTCAATGGCTGCATTTCATTGTTTTCGTTATCAGTGATAAATCATATGTATATTTATTCATGTCACAATTAATCTAGAGCACTAAGAGTAGTACTGTTTTGTGTCTAATAGACATTTCGAACAAATATAATCCTGCCTTTCCCCTTACTGTAATCACAGTTATTTCCAGTAAATAATTTTTTTAAAGTTGCAGAAAAGATCGGTAGCTCATGGTGGATGGAATCGGTGTTCTTATTGCTTTCTGTCCTTCTCTATCCATCTAGGCAATAGCTTCAGAGCAAACTTTAAAGCTGCATCTAGAAGGGCAATAAAAGAATCTCTATCAAACCATTTGGTTTGAAAAGCATAATACCACTAAAAACAAACATTTTATTCAGTCTGTGAATTTTATTTCTAAGTGAAGTAATCAATCTAAATATCATTCTTAGAATTCCAAGATTGATCATGAACTGACTTCAGTTACAGAACTACTGGAAACCAACAAGGAGTACTGGATAGTTATTTCGTCACCATCTGGGTCTCTTCATCACTATGCACTCATAAACTTACTGGAGTTTGAACCCAAGACCTTCAGCTTACAGTTATATCCTTGAAAACCAACAGTTGAGAACTAATCTAGCGCTCACCAGTGACTAATTACAGGATGAACTGGCCTGAAGTCGTAACCAGTGGGATCTAGCAAATTAAGTGTGAGAACGAATAATCGCCAATGATATTGGCTGGCTGTTGCGTTATATCGCGGACTGGCGGAAGCCAGATTTGACAGGCTGGCCATAAAGTTGAGTCCAGGTGGCTGAATAGCCTATCACCTCGTCTTGTAACTTATTTCATTTTCCAAGTGAAGATTTGAATCTAGGGTGTATGTGTTTCGCCGTATGTGTACACCAATTTGCCAATAAACAATTCTGCTTTTCCACTTTTAGCTTTCTGATTTATCTTTCAAATTTCAAAGGCATCATATTTATAAAATATGTTGTGAGAAGTTTTTTAGTGTCAGTGTGCATTATGAAAGGCGTAATCTCAACAAAGTGTGATTGATTATCAATGAATTTTACCTTGTGACTTTAAAGAATCTCTGTTGTGAATACCATACACGTAAACTTTTGGCTTTCATAATTATTTTATGTTTCATAAACATATAACCAAAAGGAAAATATGGCAACCAACGTAGTTGAAGTCAGTGGTATTTCACTTTCGATTTCATCACAACAACGCCGAAGAGTTACAAACTAGGATGAAACAAGTGTACGTCATTCTACGTGTCTTAGTGATTCCTTAAATATCAGTTTATGAAGAAGAGTAATCTATGAACAGAGATACCGAAACGTCACACGAAATAAGTAGAAACCTTGAAAATTATGACATAAGAGTAGATTTTCGCACAACGAACATCTTACTCGCGCCGTCGGTAAATATTGGGTTTATAACAGAAGACAGGTAATAAAATTGCATATGAGAAGCAAAATTTAAGGACTGTGATACTGCATACTTTGGAGGACCTTCCAGTCAAGCGAATATAACAACACAAAGAATGCCTAAATGCAGTTCCAGAAACCTCGGAGGATTTGGAGAAACTAGGAAATAAATCAGTGGTTGCACCATACTTGACGGAATCGGGACACAAGATGGATTCTGATATGATCACGGTTCTACAGAAAGATTTTGGTTCAGGTTAATAAAGACTGATTGCAGAGGACCTACATATATGAGGAAATACCAATACTTTGAACAAGCGTGAAGGTGTGATGTCAGCTGATGCACGATAATTTACTATTAATAAATAAAGTGGATATGTATCACTAATTTCTTATGCTTTATCTGTTTTTCCCAGGTATATCTTCTTATGGAAATGCTAGTAAATGATGTACAACCGTTTAAAAAAGAAATATGAATCCTTTCACTTTTAGTAAAATATTTGATAGAATTCTTAACACACAAAAATAAGAACACAATATTCAGTGAAGAGACTCTTTTCAACGAATTTATTATCAAGCTGTACAATCGTATATATATGGTTTTTTTTAAAAATTTTTATCTGGTGAGGGAATTGGGTCAAAGGTGTGAATACATGAAATAATAATAGTATGAAATAAGTAAAGCTGTTATGTAGATCTAATTTTTCGAATAAACTACGTTTATCTTTACAATTTCTCAAGTCCATTTTAGGCATATATTTCATACATCTGTTCCCCCTAATGAATTGGATTAAAGCAAGAACATCTGTTTTTGCAGAATAAAATGGTACCATAATGTATTTCGTTGGCTTCTCATCAGCCCAGCTGATTACAGGCCAAAGTTATGATTAAATATATCTACAGAAACAATTTTAACATACTTGAACAGAGTTCATTTTAAACAAAAATCAATTAATCAATATATACATACAATAATATATATATATTATAATAAACTCTTTATCCCGAAAAATAATGATCATATACAATGGAAACTTCCCGCATTACGTGATTAGATGAAAGAGGGGGTGAAAATATCCAGTTACTGGGGCAAGGAAAGACTGATAACCGCTTCTTTCTGAACGCACAGATCAGGTTTCAGGCGCTTGATGGAAATGGATTCAGCAAACTTAAGGAGAATTGAGCTCTTTTGCTTATTGATAATTTTGAACGACTTTTCGACGTCCACCTCATGCCCCGTGTCGAAGAGGTGCCTGGCGATGGCACTGTTTAAAGCATTTGTCCCCTTTAGCTATAGACCTTTTGGTACATGTTCAGAAAATTGGAGGTATGCCCATGTTTCTGTTCTTCTAATGTAACTGCTCCCGCAGATACATGTAAATTTGTATATACAGTTGGAGTTAAGATGAGAAGGATGTCTATCGATTTTTGATTGCACCAAAGAGCAAGTTGTTCGATAGATGGGACGAGCTTAGCTGCAGGATAGGCTCTGGCTAGTGAGGTACTCAGTATTCTGTTGACAAGTGCTGTAATATGAGGTGGACATCGCAAGATCGTTCAAAATTATCAATAGACAAAAGAGTTCAACTCTCCTTAAGTTTACCAAAGCAATCTTCAACAAGCGCCTGAAACTGGAGTTATACGTTCAGAAAGAAGCGGTTATCAGTCTTTCCTTGCCCCAGTTACTGAATATTTTCACCCCATCTTCCATCTAATTACGTAATGCGGGAAGTTTCCATTGTGTACGATCATTATTTTTCAGGATGAAGAGTTTATTATATACATATTATTGTATGTATATATTGATTAATTGATTTTTGTTCGAAATGAACTCTGTGCGAGTATGTTAAAATTGTTTCTGTAGATATATTCAATCATAACTTTGGCTTGTAAGCAGCTGAGCTGATGAGAAGCCAACGAAATAAATGATGGTGTCATTTTATTCTGCAAAAACAGATGTTTTTGCTTTATTCTTAAGCATGTATGCATACACAACTGCTGTCAACCCTTTTCCCTACTGATTCGAGACAGTAGGAACTCTCTTAATCAATAGTCTGTCTTCTTGCTTCGCGGGTTTGGTGATATCGTATCATGTCGATGTCGCTATTGTTGCTAAATTGAATCTTAATTAACAGACGTAGCTATAAAAAAATTTTTAAAAAAAGCTACGATTCAACTTGATAAGAAAATGCTGCCAAAACTCAAGCTGACGGACTGAGGTATTTTTGTGTAGGAATCATATGATCATATGCAGATCACTAATCCTGAGTTTTTGCTACATAGTTGAATGTCTCATTAAGAAAGAAGACAAGAAATTACCATCATTACATTTTGTATATCATGTGAATCTGTCATCTTTCATGTCTCAAATTTCTCTTGCTTGTTCTCCTACATAAGAGAATAAGTATATTTTGGTTTATTCAAAAAATAAGTACCTAAGGAAACATTTTTAATGTGAGCCAATTTATAATATAGAACTATCAGAACTAATAGATTATCATGTCTCATAAACTGTCATTGTCACATTCACACGCAAAATTGATGTCGAAAGTTTTTGAGTGCTACTCACAGCCTACGCGTTTTATGCTTCAGAAGTTAAGATACAACTTCCTTAAGTTTATATCAACCTAAAGAAGCAAACATATTCTACTTCTTGGTGCTGCTGAATGAATCCCGCCAGTGAGGTTCACAATATAGTCAGCAGGCTAGGGTACTTGTCATCACAGTGCATGTTAAATTGTTGTTACGTCACTCCAGGTAGTCCACAAGAAATCATTGATCCAGGTTTCGAGCTGGTGAGCAAGCCGAATCTGTAATCTAAAAGATTCGAGTCTGTGTCATTCAGTGCTACA